AGCCCTTACAGGCCATTCATATTGGGACTCTAAACCTGTAAGTGTTACAGTTCCCATGCTGGCCTTGGGTATCAGGATCCAGGGTGCTTGCAGCAGTCTTAGCCTGAGATCTAAGGCTCAGGCCTCTCGGTTCTCTTCTCACACTCATTATAATCTTTTATCAGCTCCTGTCTTTCCCCTGTCCTTTTCCTGTTTGTCTTCCCCTCTCTGCCCTCTCATCCTTTCATTTCTTGCCTGTCCCCTACAACTGCTCAGCTGATCCTTTGTCAGTGGCTACTGCCAGAGCTTCCAACACCTGCCTTTTTCTGAGAGTCTGGAGTACAGTACCTTCTGTGAGCCAGGGTACCTTTTCTTACTAGTAGTGTGACTTTGAACATAGTACATAAAATCATCTATAAAATGAGTATCACAATTATTGCTATCACATATAAAAGAGTTAAATAAGATGGGAATACAACACTCATCATGCTAGTATAATAAAACCCTAACTCATTAGTGTTGCTTTTAGTATAATTTTTCAGTAAAACTTTCTGGAATAAATATATTAAAACATACTTTTAAAAAATTTAAATGTTTTAATTATGTGAGGGTGGGGTATGTCATGTTAGTATGGGTGCCAGTGGACTCCAGAATAGGGCATGTGATCCCTGGAGCTGGAGTTACAGGTGATTGTTGACTGCTGAAATATCTGTCTAGCCGTCAGATTTCCATTCATCTTTTAAGATACAGCATCTTGCTTCTCATAGGGTTTGCTTTCTTATAATTTGGATGGTAGACTGATTGATGTTCATAAGTTTGTAATTCAGTTGATTAGGCTTTAGAATTTCAATTTCAGAAAAACTTCCATATTTTGATGTTAATATTCTTGTATTTTCTTCCTTCCCATAATTAAAATAACAACTAGGTAATTTTTGATACCATGTGAAAATTAATTTTTGCCTCAGTTTCTTTGCTGTGTTGCTTGCCAGAGATCATTAGAAAAAAAATAGTTTTTAAAAGCAGATGCTTTAAATTTTTAAATCCAATATTTAATGTATTTATATGTCACTTCTTTTAGGGTTTAGATGGGTTAATGATGCAAAATGATAATATTTAAATTAATCTCCCATACAATTAAACAATCAAATTTACCTAATAACTTAAGGTAGTTGTTAAGTTTTAGGCATTTCTACTATCTTATTAAATTCATAGCTTTGAACTATATGATTTAAGTTATAATATTCTGAAGTATAAAAATCCCAAGCACATACGATAAAGGAATTAGTCTAAAGGTTACTATTGTGCTTTGACCAATAGTAACCTTTGTCAGCTTTCCAAGCAAGGCACTTGAAAAGTGCCAGTGACTCCCTCTAGTGGACATAGAGCCTGCTTATTTTCTTTGATTTGTTTGTGTGGTGTATGTGTATGTTATAGTGGTTTTTCTGTTTGCATCTTATAATGTTCTAATAAAGGTATGGTCTCATTACTGTGATATTTAGAGGTAAACTTTGTTTTATATATATGATATTTCTTATATGTGTCCTTACCCAAATGACATTTTACATCTATGTAAAGCATGTTCAGGAATACTCCTTATAAACTCTGGCAAACTTGAGAAAGAAGAGAGTTTTTTGTGGGGGTTGATTTTTTGCAGAACAGTGAAAGGGGGGAATATTAAAGCAAAAGCAAGTATTTTGAAAAGGAAAGGCATTCCTATGATAACTTTGAATTCCAGGTTGGCAGTCTTAGGTAGAATTTGGTGTTTTTAAATATTCATGGGTAGGTGGCTAAAGGTTGTGAGTTCAGCTTCTTTCATGTGGGAGAGTGAGTAAGATTAAGAAAAAAGAACAGCATTCTTTCAAGGATTAGCCCTAAAACTGTACTAATAAACATAACACTATTGTGATTATAATTTCCCCATTTCTATCTACCTGTACTATACTCTGCCCTCAAACAACAGATATTTTAAATTAAAACTAATATTGTTGCTTTGTCATATTCAAAATAATTACTGTTCATTTAGAATTATTACTGGTTTCTCTGACAAAGTTTTTCTTTTCATATTAACATCTTTGATGATAGATTTGACTTGAAAGAAACACATCACTAATTGAGCACTATGTATGTGTATTAAAGTGGCAGTCTAGCTATTCTTTTAGTGTGTGACTGTTTTTGATACTCTGCAGCTCTCCTTCTTTTGTTAAAACTATTGCAGTTACAAATCTACAACAATGAATCTTTGATGTTTACATTGAGTAGCAATGAAATTGGAATTTGTTTACTGAATTTTCTTTTTTCTTGGACTGATTTCCATAATTTATTATGGTTTATTTAATGGAAACTATGAGAGTTAAAACAGATACTCTTCTCATAGTGAGCATCCATTTATTATCCATGGCTTAACAAATATTGTGTCAGTATTGTAATGGGGTCTGTTTTATGATGTCTTTGTAATAAAATGATGTTGCCTGTTTAAGACACTGGCACTTGGAGAAAGAGAAACTGTAAAAGCTGTAGTGTAAGAAACAGTAAAGCATTTCTTGTTTTGATGTATTACAAGGCCTTTGAAAGCATCACTAACATCACTTACACTGTGCCAGACTTCTCCTTGTGAGCAAGTAAATGAGAAGGGCAGATGCACTTACATTTCAAGGCCAAGTTGTTGAATTTTTAAATGAAAATGTCTACAATCTGTTTTAAATATCTTTAAATTGGACTGTAAATTGTAGATGACTGTATTGTATTCCTGCTTTGAAATAAATCTCACATCGGTATCTGAGATACTTAATTTCTGAAAGTCCATTTCTGAAAGTCCTTACATTTTTTGGGGGGCTGTTACAGAGAAATTTTTCCTATTTCTAACTGCAGTTACCAAACCCAAACTATTTTTGTTGTTGTTGCTGTTTTTGTTTTAGGTTTTCAATTAATTTCCATTGGTCAATATGACTTTTTGTTTGTTTTTGTTTTTTTCTATTTTTTATTTAAATTAGAAACAAGCTTGTTTTACATGTCAATCCCAGTTCCCTCTCCCTCCCCTCATCCCCTGCCCCCCACTAACCCCCCCATCCCATCCCTTTTCTGCTCCCCAGGGAGGATGAGGCCTTCCATGGGGGAATCTTCAAAGGCTGTCATATCCTTTGGAGCAGGGCCTAGGCCAACCCCCTTGTGTCTAGGCTGAAGGAGTATCCCTCTATGTGGAATGGGCTCCCAAAGTCCATTTGTATGCTAGGGATAAGTACCGATCTACTACCAGAGGCCCCATAAATTGCCGAGGCCTCCTCACTGACCCACGTTCAGGGGGTCTGGATAATCCCAGTTCCCTCTCCCTCCCCTCATCCCCTGCCCCCCACTAACCCCCCCATCCCATCCCTTTTCTGCTCCCCAGGGAGGATGAGGCCTTCCATGGGGGAATCTTCAAAGGCTGTCATATCCTTTGGAGCAGGGCCTAGGCCAACCCCCTTGTGTCTAGGCTGAAGGAGTATCCCTCTATGTGGAATGGGCTCCCAAAGTCCATTTGTATGCTAGGGATAAGTACCGATCTACTACCAGAGGCCCCATAAATTGCCGAGGCCTCCTCACTGACCCACGTTCAGGGGGTCTGGATCAATCCTATGCTAGTTTCCCAGCTATCAGTCTGGAGTCCATGAGCTCCCCTTGTTCAGATCAGCTGTTTCTGTGGCCAAACCCAAACTATTAAAATGTAGAAATAATAAGCATACATGTTAAAATTCCTGTAAAAAGAGAAGAAAGAAGTCAAACCACTTTATATGAAAATGCCTCCAGAGCACCTTTGCTGGAGGACTTCCAGTGTACCTCAGTACAGGGTAAGAAGTCTTACTCTGTGAACTGTGATTGCTGGAATTACAGATCCCTTTGGTGTGACTCTGTGATACTGAAAACTGCTTAAACTTAACTTAAACTGCTTGAGAGTACATTTATATTCTCAAATTATACTTAATTTACTCTTAACTTGCATTTTGACAAATAGACCCCCCCCCCAAAATTTTCTTCTACCTTTTTGTAGTCATTACTTACATTGTACTTTTATATACCTCTCATCATAGTTTTGCTGTGTGCGTTCATGTGTTTCTGTGTGTGTTGTTGTTTTATGAAATACATATAAGATGCTGTCTCAATGGAAAGGAAGCAAAAAGGAAGATAGAGGAGATAGGGAAGGAAAGTATAGGAAAAGAAATTTAGTGACTGCAGTTAAAATGATACATAACATAGCTGTTGTTCCTTTGCTTTCAGTACTTACGTCTAAGTATTAATGTTTGAAAAGTCTATATGATATTCTTCCATTCAAACAAAGTACAACTATTAAATATAAATACTTGCCTAAAACCATAAGAGGTACAATGTGATGTTCCAGCAAATGATATGATACAGATGCCTGGATTTTTCAACAAATGCATTTGATTTATTGTAATTTATTTTATTAGTAGATCTATTCATTCTGTTTGATTAGGTATGAGTGGTTTGTCTGCATATAAGTATGTGCACCAAATACGTGCCTGTAGCCCATGGAGATCAGAAGAAAGTATTTGATTGCCTAAGACTGAAGTTACAGAGGGTTGTAAGCCTCCAGGTGGGTGCTGAGAATCAACCTGGGTCTTCTGCAAAAGCAACAAGTGCTCTTAACTACTATGCCAACTCTCCAGACTTGATTCACTGTAATTGGATCCAAAACCTTTAGTTTCAGGAACTTGGAAAATTTTCAAATAGCTGACTTCCTCATTGAAATCCTTCCCCAGTTTGTGCTGACCATTATTCTCTTTCCTTATGAATTTGACCATCAGATCCTGTTATTAAATAACTTGTTAGCCTGCTAGTGTACCATATAACATTCTAAATTAAAATATCAACAGAGAATTGAAAGGTATTGTTTGCATCAGTGGATTGGCTATTTCTTATGTAAATCCAAATTGGTAATTACTATTATAATAACCTTACTGATTTTTGCATCCTCTTAAATATTTCTATTTATTTTTTTTTCATGTAGACTTTACTTTCTCTTTTAGACTGAATCAGGATATGGATCTGAGTCCAGCTTACGTAGACATGGCTCAATGGTGTCACTGGTGTCTGGAGCAAGTGGGTACTCTGCTACATCCACATCTTCATTCAAGGTTTGTGATTATGGTGCTGTAAGGTGATGTCATGTGAGTCTAGTATTGGATATTATGGGCACAACTTAGGTTAGTGTGTGTGTGTGTGTGTGTGTGTGTGTGTATAGCAATGGGCATATGGAACTCAGAGGACAATTAGTAGGATTGGTTCTGTACTTTCACCACGTGGGTCCCAGTAGTTAAACTCCTGTTGTCAGGCTTGGCAGTAGGTGCCTTTATCCTCTGAGTCATCTGACCAACCCTTGATAAGTTTTTAAAAGAACTTTTCCACAATGTAATTTACTTGAAGTTGTTATAAAATAAATTTGTAAGGGATTAAATCATGGTACATACAAAATATAAAATGAACACATGTGAGATTTTATTATCTTCATTCATTAATGAGGTAAGGTACAATTTTATAGATTGGTTCAAAGGAGGATCTGGAAAATATTAAAATGATTTACTGATGTAAAACTGACCAGCATCTGTAGATTAATAGTCAATGCCTTGAGGAATGTAGTTCAATGATAGAGCACTTGGCTAGCATGCAAAATTCCTGGGGTTAATCACCAGCAATGCAAAAATAATCAGTGTTTCTACACAAGTTCCTTTGTGTCTCTTGAGAAAAAAAAATCACATCACACTATTTGATTTTCTATTAAAAGACTTGTAAAATAAATCATGTGCAATGAAAAGGAAAAACTTGTGCAGTCTGATACCATCTTCCCCTCAGGGTTCCTTTGACAACACTCATTAATACTACTAAACTACATCCAGTAATAATGCATTTGCCCATTTCAAAGTCTGTGTCTCTTCACAGTGGTTGATAGGGAAATGTAATGTGAGCAGATTATCAAGCAGTATTGCTTTCCTATTTTCTATGGGTCTTCCAGTGTCAGGTCACTAGTTAAACCCTCTTCAAGCCTGTTCTTAGGAATATTACTTTGCAATTCATAGCTCTAATTATCCCATTCCCTCAATGTTAGGATGCCAACCTAAAAGATGACTAAATATCATAGGGCCAACAGTCCAGGTTTGCTTTACTTGACTCACACACCCTCTCCTTTGTGTTTTGCAGAAAGGACACAGTTTACGTGAGAAATTGGCTGAAATGGAAACTTTTAGAGACATCTTATGTAGACAAGTTGACACTCTCCAAAAGTACTTTGATGTCTGTGCTGATGCTGTCTCCAAGGATGAACTTCAAAGGGATAAAGGTTTATTAAACTATTACCACTATTTTTACTTAGAGAATGAATGAATTTAAAGCCTCTAGATTTTTTTACTTACTTTTTATTGGATTTATTGGAATATTATTATTATAAGTTTTTTGAAGACAGGATTTCTTTGTGTAGCCTTGGCTATCCTAGAACTAACTCTGTAGACCATGCTGACCTTGAACTCATAGAGATCCTCCTGCCCCTGCCTCCCAAATGCTGGAATTAAAGGCTTGTGTGCCACCACCCAGTTTATTTAGCTTTTAATTTGGGGCTTAAAGTTTTTTCCCCTTTGTTAGTGCTGAAGGTATTGTTGATGTTAACATGTGTTCAGTTGTTCTCTTAATTTGCTCTGAAGGTGAGCATGACCTCACCAGCAATATTAGCACCTAGCACTGAGTTCACCCCTTGTAGAAGTGCATTGCTGGTCATGGCTGAATTTCTTGGCCTTATGAAATATGTTAGACCTAAATTCTTCTTTGTCTTCTTTGGTTTTTGTTTGTTTGTTTGTTTCCTTTAGCTATCTTTTGTACTAAAATTTTTTACAATTTTTTTCCTTTGTTTATGTTTTAGCTGTAACTCTGTTACTTTGATGGCTACTTCAGGGATTATGGTTTGCATATGTAACCTACCACAAGTCTGCCTTCAGAGTACAATAGTACTTTGTGTATAATAGCCAAAGCTTCTGGTGGTGTGTTTCCATTTTACCCTACTACTGAGGCAAGACTTTTCTGAGTTTTCTAGTCAGCCCCCTATAAACTATGAGGCTTTCCATTCTGCACTATGAGAACAATTTCCTTATTTTCCTACATTAAGGTGTGGTTTTCCCCTGCTTCAAGTAGTTTCCTCATTTGCAGGTACTCTCCTCACTCTGCTGAGTACTCAAAAGAAACACCTGCTGATTTCTGGCGGTGTCTCTGTGCAGTCCTCTCCTTGTTTTTCATCCTGTCTTGTCTTTGTTGTGCTGTCTCTGTTGTCTTAACTGCATCTCATCTCAGCAGTCTACTAGGTTTCCTGTCTTGAATGCACAGGTAGCTGGAGCAATCATGGAGCTTATAGCATTTGTTTCCAACCCTCCTGTATCATCCCTTATTGTTACCTAACACAAGTGTCCATTATCTTATAAATTCTGCCCAGGTTTGGGGATTTATGGTAAAGAATAAATTCAGGCCCTGTTACTCATCTTAACCAGAAGCAGAAATCTTACTCATTAGCTACAGTTCCAGCCCATCTTTATATTTTAAATAGCTCAGCTAGGGACCTGTCCCAAAAGATACTATAGAGAGTGACTGAAGAAAATATGGCATTGACCTCTGACCTCCTCAAACACACAGGCTCAGTAGCAGAGTACTTGCCTAGTATGGATGAGACCATAGGTTCATTACCTATGAAAAAAATGGGGTTGGTTGAAAATAGTAATAACTTCAAAGCTATTTAATTTAGTCAAAATTAAATACTTCTAGAAGAATATGACTTTCTGTTCCTGGGCAAGATGAATAATGGGGACTAAACTTATTCTCTACCATAAATTTTCAAAAGTGGGCAAAATCTGAGAGACAGTAGACACTGTTTGAGTTAATAGTAGAACACACAAACATAGGTGCATGCACATAGAATGTATTACAGACTCTGAAAAGTTCTTTCAAGTACTTAAAAGATCTTATTCAGGAGACAAGAGGTCACTGTTAGCAAGAGCAACTTTTGTTTTCATTATATAAATGAGCTTAAAAAACAAAAAGTTGAAAATCCTTACTTGGTGCTGGTAAGCGATTGGGTGGAGAACTTAAGAAACATTGGAATTTCATCTAAAATCAGTTTCCCATCAGTAATTTGAAAAATTACTGTTTAAGCAAGAATATACATTGAGATTAATCTTTTAAAAAAGAATTACTTGCCGATGATTGTAATGTTAGTTAGAACATATGGTAAAAGACTGAAAGTGGAAGAAACTCTGACAAATCATTCTAGTAATCTGAGAGTCAGTGAATGAGCCTCTGGATCAAGTGTGAAGAATAGAGAGAAACTCATTGCAAGGGAATGTCCTCATGATTATTTCTTATATTTTATCATATTTACCATGAAGTTTTTAGGTATTTGATATTAATTATGTTACAATTTTATAATAGACATATATACACACTTTATATATATATAATATATATATATATACACACACACACACTTTATATATGCCATGTATATGTAAGTGGTAACTATTCCAAAAGTTATCAAAGTTAAAAGTACCTAAGATTGAGTGGCTTAAGTTTTATTTTCTCACATTTGTGGAAGCAAAGTGTTGGCAGTGTTGACTACTCCCATGAGTTAAAATCCCATTCTAGGACTGTTGCTGGCACATAAGTACTGTCTTCTTGCTATCTCATCATCTCTGCACATGTGTATTTCCAGAGAGCCTCTTATGATGACACCAGTAGGTTAGGCTCACACTGATGACCTCATATTTATGTAATTGCCCCAGTCACATTGTGAAGTACTGGCAACAGACTTCAACAAATGACAGTAGTTGGAGAGAAATATTTAATTCACTGGTATCTTAGAAATATTTGGGTACTGAAAGAGTTGCTCAATGATTATTTGAATCATATAGGCGATCTTAAGAAAAAAATAGTTTATCATACTGTCACGAACCCAGTATATCAGAAACAAATGGACACATTCTGTCTTCCCATGATGTCATCATTTAAATTCAGAAGCCACATTACTTCTAATTCATCTGATTTCATTGACAGCTGCCTCTCACCACTCTAGAGGTAGTGGGACCTGGGTGAATGGAACCAATAAATTAGAGAGACTAAAGTCTCATGAAGTAGCCAACTTATTCAGAGCATCAGACTATTTGTATTCTGAAAGTTAAGAGGTCACCTGAGAGGTGTTATCATGAGTTCCATCTGTAAACGGTCACAAGAACAAGCCATACACATGGCAAAATACATGTTTTTCTGTTGAGTTATACAAAGGACAGTTTAAACATTTAATTGTAAAATAACAACAACAAGCAATAATGAGTAGTCTAAAGTAAACTCACTCTTATCCACTACATGTGGGAGGGGCACAAAAACACATACCAAGAACAGTTCTGTGTTTTGAAGAAACTGAGGTCACATGACTTTTGTCTTATTTTCTTGCAGTTTTCTCACAAGCACTCAGAATTCTCCAGGACTCCATTCATGGACTATGCTCCAACATAAGCCATTTGTGATTACAAGCTTTATTCCAGTCTCAACTGCTAATATTTTCTCAGACCACAGACCAACATATATATCTTCATGTGTGTATGTGTATATATTTATGTATTTAGGTTATAGAATAACTGCAGAAAGCATAGAATGCCTCTGAATTCAAAGGTGCCTTTCTAAAGGTAAAGGCAGAAACCTGTAATAGACGCAAAGAAAGTCACTGTAAGTAGTTAGATAAGATATTAAGGGACCCAGTTGGAGAACTACTGAAAGCCCTCAAAGCTGAGCTGTTGGGCTGAGCTGTAGAGTTGAAATATTTGTATAGCTGTAGGACTGAGTTAAAGGGCCAGTTCCAGGTAGTTCAGATTGGACAAAGGCAAAGAGTGTGAGTAGGCCGAAGGAGGAACCGTGCTGAACAGACTTGGGAACTCTCTCCCTGTTGGTCCTTTAACCCATGCATCAGGTGGTCAGATAACTGTTCAGCTGGCTCATCATTATCATCACCATAGTAGCAGCTGTCTTTTTTACGGAGTCCAGATGAAGCTGTTGCCCCTTTAATTGGTCTAGTGTGTTTGATAAGTTCATGGGTCTGGTTTTCTGTGTACCATCTGATTCCAGGCTACTTTTGATATGTGTGTAGGTAGTACCTTTTTACTTGTAAGTGTAAAGTTTTAGCCATCTGTTTCTCATTGTTGTATGGTACAGATGGTGATATCTACGTACATAGTTGAGATGCAGGTTCATCTGCAGTTACACTCAAAATGGAGCATTATATTCTTTGTTTCTCAGATAAGTCTGGATAGTTTTGTTTTGTTTTTAATAAAAGTAGAGGGTAGGCCTTCGGAAGGTCATAAGGAAAGGCCACAAAAAGGAAAACATAGAGGCCATTTGAATTTTCCCAGAAAAACCATCCTTCAAATCATGAGACTAGATAACGTCTAGAACAAATGTAACAAAGTATCTGTTGTTGTAGGAATTGCTAGGTAAGAGAGTAACTAATTAACTGTTAATTTAATTTTCCATTGATAAGATTTTTTTAAGTGTAGGGAGATGTGAAAAGAGCGTGCCAAATGAAGTAAAGATCTTAAAACAAAAGGTACTTGAAGGTCATCATTGTAACATTTGCCAGAGAACTTGAATAGACGCATTGTGACTTCACTGACTAGCACAAATGAATATTCTCTGAGAACAAAGACACAAGGTAAATTAATGTAAAGAAATAGTACCAGTTTTCATTTATTTGGTAACATATATACTTGTGTAAAGCCAATGTAAAACCTAAAACAGAATTTTTTTCATATTAATACCTTCTATGAAGACCAGTATTGCAACAGTGTACCATATTAATGGATTTCTTAGAATTTACCATATAAATTATCAATGAGCAGGTAAAGATTAATAGAATCTGAGAATATATTTAATCTTGGCACAAAAGTATATTGAAGACTTAGAATGCTAAAAATGGAAAAATGTCAGATAATGATATCATTTGGCTATATAGAAATCAGTATACAATGTTACTCAATAGTAGTGGCTTATGATTTGAAAATATGAGTAACAAAAATTTTATGTGTGAATAAAGTATTTTTCATTCTGATTCTTACCCTTGGTCAAGAAAGATTAAAGCAGTCTCTTTCCATGAGATGGTTTCCTATAGAACCAAAAGTACTCCTGCAATAAAGAAACAGACAATTTGAATGATAATAAAGATGATTCCTTCTGTAGAAAAGTCCTCAAAAGATGATACTGGGTAAATATCCCTGTCCACAAAGCTCCTTACCAGGGCAGGGGAGATGGCTCTCAGTTGGTAAAGTCCTTGCTTCCCAGGCATGAGGGCCTGAGTTTTGGGGCTCAACAACCATGTAAAAAGCCAAGCCAAAGAGATTCAAGTACATGTGGAGTTGTGTGTATATGTATGCCTAATCCATAGAGGTCAGAGACAGATGGGTCCCTTGAACTCATTGGCCAGCCAGTCTGGCTAACCTGTGAGTGCTTGGTTCAGTTAGAAACCTTGTCTGAAAAGATAAGGAAGAAAGCAACAGTAGAAGACATCTGACATTGACTCCTGGCCTCCACATGTGTACCAGCATGTAGACATGCACATGTGTGTGTTTGCTCACAAATAAACATACACAATAAATCACTTGATATCAGAAGTATTTGGGGCTTATTTTAAATTATAAAATAGATGCATAGATAAAGTGGGAAGTCTGGAAGAGAGCCCTAGATTAGACAGAAAATTTATGTTGTATTTATACTTTATACAGATAATGTAAAGATAATTTTATGTAATATTTTTAGGATACATGGGGTCAGGAACTTTCAACTTGTTGCATCTTGTTAGCACTCACTAAGTTTTGGATTTTGGAGGATTTGGAGTTTTAAGTTTTCATATTAAAAAATGTAAAATAAAGAGGGTCTGACAAAGGGTGGGGGGATCATGAGTCGGTGCTGGTCCTGTCTCAAAACTAAAGGGGTCATTAAAAGCTTGATGAAAGGGGGGTGAGGGGGCGAAGGGAGGACTTGGGGGGAAAGGAGGAAGGGGAAACTGGTCAGGATGTAAAAAAAAATAAAAATAATTTTTTTAATTGGCAAAAAAGCTTGACGAAAGGAAAGGGCAAAATAGTTGAGAGCTGAGGTTTTGGAAATAAGTATTATAAACAGAATGTATGTAACAGAAACAAAGCATATTGAGCAGTAGAAAAGGGAATAGTGTACATGAAAGAGAGAAAGAAAGAAAGAAAGAAAGAAAGAAAGAAAGAAAGAAAGAAAGAAAGAAAGAAAGAGGAGCCAGGCATGGAGATGTACGCCTTTAATCCCAGCACTCGGGAGGCAGAGGCGAGTGGATCCCTTGAGTTTGAGGCCAGCCTGGTTTACAGTGCGAGTTCCAGGATGGCCAGAGCTATTACAGAGAGAAACTCTGTCTGGAAAAACCAAAAATAATAATAATAATAATAATAATGATAATAATAATAATAATAATAGGTACACAGAAAGAATACCATATGTTGTTTGCAAGTTTTAATCGTTTGGAATTGGAGAAATTAAAAGGGATATCTAGGCATACGTACACCTTGAAATAAATGAAAATTGACATCACATCTACAAGTATTTCCCTGTATATAAAGAAATAGCAGATTAGAGAATTCCCAGAGGATACAGAAGGTATCTCACTTTACAGCTGTCAGTTCTTCTAGGCCTCTTCAAATTGGTTATATCTGTATATGTGTGGGTGGGTGGGTGGCCATACATGTGCATAGTGCCTGTGTTGAGGTCATAGGACAGCTTGGGGGAGCTGGTTATCTACATCCACCATGTGAGTTGTTAGGAATGTACTCTGTTTGTCAGGCCTGGTGGCAAGTGCTTTCACCTTGTCAGACCCTTCTAGGACTATTACAGAGTCATAAAATGACCATGGTGAAGGTAGAAACTGATAGGAAAACTGCCTCAGGGTTTCTACTGCTGTGAAGAGATAATATGACCACACAACGCTTATAAAGGAATGGGGTGGGCTTACTTACAAGTTCAGAGATTCAGTCCATTATCTTCATGATGGGATATGGCGGCATGCAGGCAGATGTGGTGCTGGAGAAGTAGCTGAGAGTCCTACATCTTTCAGGCAACAAGAAGTGGTCTGAGACAAACTGAGTAGTATCTTGAGCATATATGAAACATCAAAGCCCGCCTCCACAGTGATACCCTTCCTCCAACAAGACCACACCTACTCCACAAGGCCATACCTCCTAATAGTGTCACTCCTTTTGGGGGCCATTTTCTTTTAAACCACAAAGACTAAAAGGTAAAATAAAGTATAACTCAATAACCATTTTTTTCCACAGATGACAATACATTTTTAAAGTAACATATTTAATATTATTCTACAACATGGCTATTAAACATATCTTGATAACCAGTGAAAACGCAGAAGATGAATAAGAGTTTATTCTCAATTGAACATAAGAATAAACCAGTTTTCATTGTAATAACCTTAAATATTTTTATTTAGTGGTAGAAGATGATGAAGATGACTTCCCTACAACTCGTTCTGATGGAGACTTTTTGCACAATACCAATGGTAATAAGGAAAAATGTAAGTAACACCTTTTCTCCCTTGATTGGATGTAATATATTTTGTGAGATTATATAATAGCTATATGTCTAAGAATAATTCCTGAGTAATTTTTAAAAGCAATGGAATTCCTAGAATCCAAAGTTTAAAATATCTTTGTAGAAAAGCCATGTGGGTAAAATATACATCTTGGTATCATGTAATAATGGCTTGCTGTCTAGCAAAGGCTCATTCCAAATTCCAAATAATAACCTCATTTCATTAGTATTGGCAAAGTTAGTTGCTTGTACTGAAAGATTTTATTCTTAGGGGTTGGAAAGTACTATTACGGAGTTTGATTTCAATATTCCATTTGAATGTCATTTCTCTCTGTTTAATGTCTTGTTCTCCACCTGATAAACTGGTATTGAAACTCTTTGATGAGTTATTAGAGGAAACTTAAGTACAAGCTTTTCATTTCTATGAAGTGTAAATTGTAACTCTGCTTTAACATCTACCTAAGAAAATGCTAAAGTGGATTTCTAGTCTTTTAAGATAAATGTAAGTTTTGTGAAAATCTAATCTAAGTATTTATTTTTTGCTAAAATTATAAAAGAATATAAAGGAAAATCTATCAGTTGCTTATTTTCCAGTTGTTTGTTAAGCTGTTTTGTTTATGGAAGTAATTTTCTGTTTTATAGATCATACTAGAATATCCCATTATTGATGCTAAAGTTTATTGTTTCTCTTCCTATCTTTCCGTTCTTCCTCAGTTCTTATTTCGTTATGATTATCTCCTTACAACATACTGCCCACTTCTTGTGTAAAAGTCCAACTTAATATTATAACTTACTATAAAAGTTGTCCTTGTAATTTAAAATTAGAGTCTTAAAGCCTATCAAGTCATCCAGTGTCTCTATAATATTGATGGTTTGGAAATATTGAAGATTGGGAAGTTTCTTTGGGTTATATTTTAATGTCACTGAATAATATGTTATAATAGAAAAAGTGCCTTATTTGAATGTTGAAAAATCACTAAAAGAAGTTTTAAAGCTGTCAGCCTAATGATTCATCCCATATATGCTCAGCTATGTCACATGCTTTCCCAAAAGAGAATAGGTCATTTTTTTTTTTAGATAGTGAAGTGAGAATTTATAGATTCAGTAATATTGTATTAAGGAATATAGCCTAAAGTAATTGTATTGTGCTATCAAGAAAGTAATTAATGGAGCTGGCAAGATGGCTCCTGTCTTAGTTAGGGTTTCTATTGCTGCCATGAAACACTGAGACCAAAATGGCAATTTGGGAAGGAAAGGGTTTATTAGGATTGATACCTCCACTGTTCATCATCTAAGAAAGTCAAGAAAGGAACTCAAAGAGGGCAGGAACCTGGTGGTAGGAGCTGATACAAAAACCAAGGAGAGGTTCTGCTTTCTGGCTTGTTCCACAAGACTTGCTCAGTCTGCTTTCTTTTCTTTCTTTTTTATGCATTATTTTTGCCTTCATGTATGTATATGTGAGGATGTGGGACCCACTGGAACTGGAGTTACAGACAGTTGTGAGCTGCCATGTGGGTACTGGGAATTGCTCCTAGGTCCTCTAGAAGAGCAGTCAGTGCTCTTAACCACTGAGCCCTCTCTCTAGCACCCAGCCTGCTTTCTTACAGAATCCAGGACCACCACCAGCCCATGGATGGCACCCATTGATCTCTAATTAAGAAAATGCCTTACAGGCCTGCCTGTGAAGGCATCAGTTTCTTAATTGAGGTTCCCAACACTCAGATAACTTTAGCTTGTGTCAAAAAAAACTATATAGCAATGCTCCCTCAGTAAAGTCCTTGCTGCATAGTATGAGGATCTGTTTGACCCTCAGCGCTCATTTAAAAGAGCAAGGCACAGCAGTTTGCACCTTTAATTCCAGCACTGACGAGGCAGATGAAGAAGGTTCTCTGTAGCATGTTGGTCACTCACTCCAGGCAAATCAGTGAACTCTAGGTTCAGTGAGAGACTTTGTCTCAAAAAATAAGGTAGAAAGCAACTGAGTAAGGCAGACAACATTGAACTCTGTACTACACACATACTCATACATGTGTACCTGCATACATTACATACACAAACATGTATACAAACATACAAATTAAATAGAATTGTATGTAGTGATTATTGAGCTCTTACTGTGTCACTGTCCAGGGACTCTAATACCAAGCTATTTTCTTGGTAAGTTTACATACTGAAAGATGCAACCCATTCCCCTTTCTCATACCCTGTTCCCAGACACTGTCTAACAGACATAATATCTTGACATGAAATCAGAAGACAGCTCTTAGAGAACTGAATAGCCATAGAGAAGGAGAGCTGAGTGGATACCACCATCAGAAAGCTGACCTCAGATCACCCTTCAATCTACTAGTTGAAAGGCTTGCTAGCTCCTTTAGTGTCTAACCCATAAGTGTGAAGGTATCTGTACATTTATAGATATGGATCATGTCTCTATACATTTGAAGATAAGGCTCCTACTTAAAAGGCAGTTACTGGCACACACAAACTAGATAAAGAAACTCAGACAAAGCAGGAAGTTATAATTAGTATCTTCAATAAGAAAACAAAAGTCTTTCAAATTTGAGTCTGTTTGCAAATGCTATCACATCTACAAACAAAGAAATTTTAATATGATCTATACAAAGAAAATTTTAGAGTTTCAGAGTATAGCTCAGGGGCAGAGCACTTTTCTAATATATACAAGGCCCTGGATTTAAGCCCCACATTGCAAAAAGAAAAGTTTTTAAAGAAAAATTAATCCATTTAGAACTATAAATGAATGAGCAAGCAAGGTGTAAGACCAATATAAAATAAGTTATATTGGTATGTGCTATTAACAATGTGCAATGTGTGTATGCATCTGTGTGTGTGTGTGTGTGTGTGTGTGTCTGTGTGTCTGTGTGTGTCTGTGTGTGTCTGTGTGTGTCTGTGTGTGTCTGTGTGTGGGTACCTTCACACCCAGCATGAGTCTTTTGTTTGAGAGATGCAGTGATTAGCTTTGTAGCCCCAAAACTTGCCTTGAGGACTACTTGCCCCTGAGTGATAGAATTATTGGCCTGAGCTAGTATGCTCAGCACATGGATAAATCTTGAAAATGTGTTAAGTAGAACTTTGTCACAACACTGCTTTTATGTGTGTTATATGAAATGTCCAAGAGATATATTGTAGAGGTAGAAAATAGGTCAGCAAGTAGCAGTTTCTAGTAGACTTGATAGTTGTAGGAGAATTTGATTTTGCTGATGCTGATTATACAACTATGAATATACTGAAAACAACTGAATTTTATGAGTGAATTTTATGGGAAGTTTATCTCAATAAAGCCATGTTTTTAAAATAAACTGCCATGTTTAAATATGGCAGGAGGTAAAGCTCAGTGGTAGAAAACTTGCCTCGCAGACACAAAGCCCCTGGTGATATCCAGCAGAGCCAAAATAAATATGGTTGTATTTTCCAGTATTTTAAGTGAACTCTTATACTCTTTTGCTTGGCTTATGCAATTTAAGATTCCTAGTTGATATATGTGTGTGTGTGTCAGGAGTTGGTTTCTTCTTATTGCCGAGTGATGTTCCATTATATGGATGCACTGTGATTTACTTATCCATTGATGAACAATTGGGTTATGTTGGGGATATTATAAATAAAGCTACTGTAAACATCAAACTTAGAGCTTTGTTCATATAGCTGCATTCCATTACTAGTCCCCAGTCTTTGTGGGTTATTTTGAGTTTTTTTAATTATTTACTCAATGTACTGTATTTTTAGGTTCCTTGATATGTTGTAGATAAAAGTCCATGATTTATGTATGCCATTCATTTTTATCTTTTTGTTGCTTATCTTTTTAACAATGTCTTCAAGAGCAGCAATTTTAAATTTTGATCGAATACTTTATAATTTTGCCCTTTACCCTTATTGTCATAACTACAAATAAGTCTTTTAAGTCAGAGTGTCATTATTTCTTTGTAAATGTTCTAGCTGAATGACTACATATTAGCTATAGAAAATTTCCCCTTTTTGTATCTTAGGATTATTTAAGATCATTTAATACAATGGCTAACCATGGATTAAAATTGTAAAGGTCTACATAAAAGTAATTTAATATCTGAATTGGTCTTGGACTTAAATATTTTAAATTTCATATTGTTTTGTTAAATTCTATGGTTTTAAATTTTTGTATAGTTTTAAAATTGTAGATTTTCTAAAATTTAAGGTATCTCAACATAATTTAAGTCCCTCTATACTCAAACATGTCCGAAAATTATTGTGAGTATCACTCCTCCTGCTGACCCTCTAGGTACAGCACAGCAAATGGGTTCAGGAATATAATTCTAGAAAATCTCAAAGCTTTGCTCACAGCACAGTAGGGTTTTTAAATAATGGTCCACAGGAAGAAAGGTACAATCCAAAACCTTGTTCTGATTTGCTAGTTTTATAAATACTTGCTAATATTAAATGTGGTGAGATTATTTCATTTGAATGATTTTCTGTGAATAACTTTCTTTTTCAGTATTTCCACATGTAACCCCCAAAGGAATTAATGGTATAGACTTTAAAGGGGAAGCAATAACTTTTAAAGCAACTACTGCTGGAATCCTTGCTACACTTTCTCATTGTATTGAATTAATGGTAAAACGGGAAGAGAGCTGGCAAAAAAGACATGATAAGGTAAGACTATAATTTCTCTTCATTTTAAAAATAATGTTTAAACTCTGTGTGCTCACTGAATTTCTGAGGGGAAGGACCTCTGGCTGCATAAAATATCAGGGGCTTTTATTTTGACACTTGATCAGAATCCTCACCTCATTTTTAACCAGTGATATGTTCAGTTATTATGTAACATGTTTTCTTGATTACATTTAATGTAAAAATTCTTCAAATATTATTTATGATTATTTGGTTTATATGTACATTTTTATTACTCTCTTTTAGTATATAAAGTTTGAGTCTGTATTTAAGTTATATGAACTAACTTGAAGAGTGATTTAGAAAGTTAAATATTTACTTGTTACATTCATAGCCATTGTTTTCCCTGGTCACTGTGATATCATTTAACATACATTATATTGTTCATATATTTGTCCCATGCTCCATTTTCCCACCTTTATTCAATCATCAGCATTGATAACAATGGTATAACACAAATTTCTAGCTTTTAATGTGAACTATGACTCACTGAATTTGCTTAGTAGGGAAACTTCTGTTTAAAAATCTAACACTTGTAAAATAACCAAGTGCTAAAATTAAAACACACCTTAGAAAATCTTGGTCTGGCTCACACCATCCGTTTTCAGAAGGAACTGAGTCAAGGACATGTCCAAAGGTGCTGGACAGTAAAGTTAAAGCCGATTTTCCTGCTCTGGGTATGTCTGCTCTACATGCCATTCATCAGAAACTGTTGCTGCTTACGGTGTTGGAAGGTCTTTCAGTTTGAGCAAGACACTAAGAAAAGCATCAAGAGCTGTTTTAACACTACCATGATGCAAGATTGAAACAGCACTGTGTATTTAAAAGAGTTCTCATATTTTAGAAGAGAAGAGAGCTGTTCAGAGTTCTCAAGCACGGGCTAGAACTAGCAGTATGCAAACCTTTACCTGATAACACATGTTCCAAGACCCTATGGATGTAAAATCACAAATAGTATCAAATTCCTTATATAATATTTTTTCTATAAATTCATGCCTATGGTAAAATTTAATTTATAAATTAGGCCCAAAAATGATGATGTCTGTATTGATAATTCATGGGAAGTTATCAGTAAATATCTTTTAGGTAACTCATAAAATCAGGAAAGAAGGCACCATGACAATGTGATTTCAGTGATGCTGTTTCCTTCCAAAGTGTTCTTATGCCCTCTGTAAGCTAGGAATAGGGAAATAATAAACAGGAAACAGTCCCTCAAGAAGGTTACACTCTATAAAGCACATTAAATATGTGTTGATAGTAACAGCTACATGATAGAATTGTTTATATTTTTAAACTTAATATGTTCACTCAAGTAGTCTTTAACCAAATTATTATTTATAGTTATCTATAATAATAATTCCTTCTTTAGAAATGTACTTAATTGCTAGCCTAGCATGCTCAGAAAGACTAAAATTCCAACTTTAAAGAAATGTAATTAATATTGTGGGGGGGGGGGGGGGGGGGGGGGGGGGAAGAAGAGGAGGGGGGGGGGGGGGGGGGGAGGGAAAAAAGGAAGGAGGGGGGAGGGAGGGAGGATGAATGGGTGTGGGTGTGTGGTAGATTTTAATTTATCCATTAAATTAGCCCAAGTGTCTAAACTTGAAAATACTTAAAGTGAGACAGTAAAGTGTATTTGTATTACATCAGATTTGATTCAGTGACCCATGCTGTGGCAGAAAGGTTCCATTTGGGCCAGACTTTAAGTTTTTATCTGTAATCTTTAACACTGTTGGCTCTATCTATAAAATGAAAGCGTTAAAATAGGTTATTAGTCCTTTTCAACCCTAAAATACAGTTTTGACCAGCAATAAGAATGATAAATCTCTTTTATAATTTAGTATTGACTGATTAAAAATTGAGTCCTTAAGAAAAAAATTGAGTTCTTTTATTCCTTCTGTTCAATACTTGCTTTTTTTCCCTCCACAACAATAAATAATGGTGTCGGGTGGGGGTAAGTACAGGAGTCTGTAGCCACCGTTTCTCTAGTGCTGATTTATCTTTATTTTAGACACGGACAATTACTTTAACATTTCTTAACCACCTCAGTACTTAATGTTCACAGAGGTGATTTTAACAATGAGTGTAATAGTAGCTTCAGTGTAACGATGTCCCACAGGAAAGTATTTCTTAGGTAGAGGAACATTTGTGTTTCTCACAAGAATTGGTGTTTTTTGTTCTTTTGTTTTATTGTTTTGGTTTGTTTTTTTGCGGGGGGTCAAATTATACAATTTCACAGAAATTGTCCTACAAGTCTTTTCATGGTTATTAAAATGCTCACTAAGTCAGTCTCTTTCTCTCCCTCCCCAAATTTGCTTAGGAAATGGAGAAGAGAAGACGATTAGAGGAAGCATACAAGAATGCAATGGCAGAGCTTAAGAAGAAACCCCGTTTTGGAGGGCCTGATTATGAAGTATGGACTTAGATTGGGGGACCACATCTATCACAGAAGTGACCTTTAATACTTTTATAACCTTTAAATGTTCTAAATATGTAATTGTTTCTCAGGGTTAACTTAATAATGTATATAAATACCAAACTTTTTCTAAAAAAGATTCTTTTTACCATCTATGAAGCTTTATGCATGTTTTTTAAAGAACCCGGTATTTTAAAAGTCTTGTTGAGCTAGACATAGTGGTTCATGCCTATAATTCCAGCACCCAGAGAGGCTAAGGCAGAAGGAGGCTCACTATAAGCTACAAGACTAGAGTAAGAGTCTATTTCAAAATCCTTATTGATTTGTGATTTGCTATCTGAAAGTTTTAAGCTTCCTTATAATGAATCTTTCTTTTGCTACACTTAGTAAGTATTTATACTTAATGATTTCTTCTAAATATATTTAATGCATTCTGGACTGTTTTGTATGTTGTCTTGAGACAGTGCCTGTTGTAGCCTAGGCTGGCCTTGAACTCCTAACCTCCTGCCTCTGCTCCTTCCTCTGCCTCTACCTCTTCTTCTGCCTCTTCAGTTACAGAGATCCTCTGCCTCTAGGATTGCAGCTGTGTACCACCATACCCAATGTGTTGGAGTTTTTAAAAATTACGATAGAACATGGAAATCTATATTTTATTCCAGTGTCATTTGTTGAATGGTCTTTTTTAATATTTAAAAATTTATGTCGTATTTTTTTATGTTTGGCGCTATTTTGACTGCATGTACACGTGTATGCCTGGTGCCCATGAATTCTTAAAAGGGTATGAGATCCCTGAAACTGGAGTTCCAGTTGGTTCTGAGCCATAATGTGGGTGCTGGAAACTATACCTGGATCCTCTGTAAGAACAGCTAGTGCTCTTAAACACTGAGCCATCTCTCCAACCCTATTTGTTGAATATTCTTATTCCATCTATTCAAAGTATACCTTCCTCTTATTTTCTTAATGAAAAATAAATGGACCAGCCTTGGTGACCTGAAATCCCAGTACCTGAGAGTTAGTAGCAAGAAGATCAGATGTAGGCCACATTGGTCTACATGAGACTCTGTCTCAAATATTTTTTTTAAATATGTAAGTGTATTCCATTTTTTTTAAATCCCTGTGAATTTTAATTCTAAACTGAACCGTTCTCAGCAAAGGAATGTAATTCATTGGTAGAATGCTCACCTAGCATATACTGGATCCCAAGTTCAAGTCTGTCTTTATACTTTTCTTCATTCTTTTTGAAGTTTTAAGCTATATGTATGGGCAGGTATGGTGGCTAGAGGTTGACATCATGTGTCTTCTGTCAATCTCTACCTCACTTTTTTAGACAGAGTTTCTCACTGAGCCCAGAGCTCACTATTTTGACTAGATTGGCAGAACAGCAAAGCCCAAGATACCTGTCTCTATCCGCTAAAGTTGGGGTTGCAGGCATGTGCCTCTGAGCCCAGCTTTTATATGGGTGCTGAGTATCTGAACCCAGGTTCCCATTGCATGCTTTACACAGTAGCTATATTCCCAGCCCTGTTTCCTCAACTTTAATTATCTTGTTCATAGTCATTTAATTATGAACATGAGTATGGCCAAATGTAACACTATAGGCAATAAAAGTTCAATTTCAAGTAAATCATATACTATAAAATGTTGTTAATGGTTTTTTTTCCACCCTTATAAAATTGAAATTCTTAGCTCACAGGCCATAGAAAAGTAGAAAGCAGACTGAATTCAGACAGTTCAGTACACCGTGAAACAGGATTAGCCAGTTTGCAGTAAATGTACCTGATATGGTGGCTTGAATCTATAATTCCAGTATCAGGAAGCTGAGAATCGAAGATTGCTGCCAAATGTGAAGCAGCAGAGTGAGTTTTGGGACAATGTAGTGTACAAAGTAAGACCCTGTTTCATAAAAACAAACAAAAAATATAGAGGATGAGTTATTTAATTATAATACTCATGATTTGGGGGGTTACCACTGTGGTTAATACTATACTAGTGTGCTTCCTGATCCACAAATATTTGCTCAACAAATGTGTATTAGGTCAGTTTTCAGCTTTCTCCTCTCAGAAGTAATATCAAAGTTGTCAATGTTTCTGCTTCTTCAAATAAATGAAGTATTTGCTGTTTGTTTCCTGTCTATTATCTAGGAAGGTCCGAACAGTCTGATTAATGAGGAGGAGTTCTTTGATGCTGTTGAAGCTGCTCTTGACAGACAAGATAAAATAGAGGAACAGGTACATCTATCCCATTCCAAATACCACAGGTGTTTCTTGATGTGTTTTTGTAGAATTGGAAAACTAAATATAACCAAAGTATTAACTATCTTAAGTGTTAAAGAATCTTTGTGAATCAGTTCTTTTACATTTTAATTTCCAAACAAAAAAGCCAATAATTAGTCAAAAGAGGTATACATAGTTAATATGAACTTAAGTTGAAATGTTCTGCCTACTAACTCTATTACTCTTAAAGAATTCAGCCTTAACCATTCTGAGATCAGAAGAGTTTCTCTGAATGTCTTCTCAAATAGCATCAGCATTCACAAGCGTAAGAGATTTTGTTTTTAGTGTTAGTACCATCCAGCTTTTATTATAAGCTCATTTATTGCCTTTTCAGCCTTCACTTTCAGTTCTTCCTCACCATTACTTTGCTTAGTCTTTTGTAGTCATCATTGAAATCACAGCACTTATATCCAGCTTCTGAAAGAACTTTTAAATATGCAAATTGCAATTTTAAGATTAATTTGATTCCTGGCTATTATAATTCAGTTCCTTGTTTTACCACCAGATGGTACTAAAGGGTAAATTTTACTTACTCATCTCTCTTTGACTCCCCCCCCCCCTTCAAGCCGTTTTATTTATAATAGAAACTGCCTCCTGAGGCAAGTGTAACTATCCTGGATGGGGAGTATCAGTTTACTAGACTAAGTAGCCAGGAGTAACTCCTTCATGATATATAACTTATCTGTTTCTTATATTTTTCTGCATATTTTTAAGTCAGTGATTTAAAAGTTCATTTCATATTAACCTGTAAAGTTTAGTGCTTATTTGTTTTTTTGTTTTGTTTACTCAAAAGATGCTACACTGCATTCAGTTAAGAATAGAAACTTCCAGCTCCCAATAAATGTGTACTTTTGGGAGCCTAAAATAGTTCTTAGAAGCCTGAAGTAGCATCATGTTGTTGTTTGTTTTCTAAAATGTGTTAGTTTGGGAATAATAGTGAACTCATTATAGCCAGCCTTTTTCTTCATTTCATATCTCTGTCAATGTGGCAAAGATAGAAATGGTGTGAAAATACTATAAAGTAGTGAGCATCAGTGGTCCATAAGAGCAGTCCACGCATTCAAATCACTTCCCTCTCTGTTCTCAGTCTGTGATCTTCAGCATTTCAAAAAAGCCACTGTAGTTTAAATTATTTGCAAACAAAGTAGAAGATACATGAAATGAATTGGTCAACAAGACAGCATGAATAGAAATTATCCTGTCTTCTGTGTAGTTAAAAGATGAGTGCAAACAAACACAGTAGTACATTACTTTTAATAAATATGTATTTGGATGTGTGAAAAGAAATCAGATAGACTGAAGAAGAGGTAGGAAGTCAAGTGTCAGGTTACCAGGAGTTAGATACTGAGATAAAGCAGACTGCTTTCATGGAAAGGAGATAGAATCACATACATGAAATGATCTTAAGAACCTAGAAGGGAAGCAATCAGTAATAATGCTTCTAATGATGCCAGTCTGTGGACCAGACCTACTGGTCCTGTATGTACTAGAATTATTGAAATGATTTGACCAAAGCTTAGATAAAAGAAATTTAGCAGTGATACTAACCTTGACTCAAGAGAATTGATACTGACCAAGTAGTGGGTGAGTGGGTGAGTATTGCTGGCTGGGAGCAATAGAAAAGCTTTTTCCTAATCTATTCTAGTATCTGTAGAGTAGAAAGAAACTGATGTGGGAACTGTGAAGTGTGTGTCAGGATTGAGCAAAGCTGCGTCTGTAGAGAAGCTTCCTAATTGAGTAATTATTGCTAATGTGTTTACTAATAAAATGTTAGTTCCAGGTTATAGAAGCCATTTGTAGGCTGCAAAATTACTTCAGAAGCATCTCAATCTAGCATATGTTTTTCTTAGTCACAGAGCGAGAAGGTCAGGTTACACTGGCCTACACCTTTGCCATCTGGAGATGCCTTTTCTTCTGTTGGGACCCATAGATTTGTACAAAAGGTAAGCAAATGACAGTTTATTGAAAGAATGCCTGCATTCCTCACTGTTCATGGTACGATCCTGTAGTATAAGTTTTCTCGTCTCTTCACAAATTTAATAGTAAGGGTTTTTTTTATATTGTTATATTCCCTATCCAATCTCCAAAACAATTTATAAATCGTGTTCTGAACATACATGCTTTGTTTTTTTATTTATGGTGAAATGGAAGGGTAAGGATAGGGAGTGGATAGTGGGAAATAGTTACTACAGTGCAGCAGGAAAATTGCTTCCTTTGGTGAGGTTAAGTACTTTGTATTTTTTTGGACATACTTCATTCTTTTTGGAATGAGTTTGGAGCATAATACATAATAGGTGCGTGAAGTCAGCACTTGTTGCTGTGCCTGTTTCATATAGTGCTTTGTTTTCTCTTTCTTTATCTTGTGTTTGCAAGTTGGTACTGAATGCTCTGTTGTGCCTTTGTTCTGATTACTTGGTTTTTTCTTTGTCTGTCTCTGGTAGCCCTATAGTCGCTCTTCCTCCATGTCTTCCATTGATCTAGTCAGTGCCTCTGACGATGTTCACAGATTCAGCTCCCAGGTACTGTACGAATATATAGAGTGGACTTGAGTCTTTCTTGCTGTATTTCTGCCTGCTTGCCCAGTTCTTAGCACTCTATTGATCGGACCACATGTTTTGGTTTTGAATTTTAAATAGTCACAAACGTTTAAAAGGCTTTTCTTAACTTCTAAATAATTCTCCTTTGTCAGTATTGCATGTGCCCTTTATGTTGTATCCTCTACTATGATTCCTTTGGAATTTTATCTTAAGCAGGTAGTACTCAGAAAAATTTCAGTTGAATTAAAATATATATAAGGAACCTGGTTTTTCATTCTTCACATAATGATGGTATTTCTCCAGGTTCAACAACCTTTATGGATATGGATTATAGGATATGCTATATCATAAAAGTGGATTTTAACACTCTCACTTTTGTTCTAATTTTAAATGTCTGTGATGTTTAGAAAAGAAATAATTTTAATAAAGGTCATCTCATTACTGTTATAATACTAAATTCATTGAACAGGCTATATTTTCTTCAAATTAACTGTGACTACTGTAGGTTAATATCACTGTATATCTGCTAAATCTTTAGGAGTTGGTTCTAACTTTATTTCTAATCACTAAGGGATTGGGAATTTAAGATAGTAAACTGAATGTACAGTCTCTGCCCTCAAAGTAAGATTAGTTTGCCAGAGGAATTTTTTTTTTTTTTTAGTGTAAACATTGTTTAAACACTTTTTGTTTCCTTTTTCATAGTTCTGGGGATTAATCCCATAGCCTTAACATGCTAGGCATTCTCTGTGCCACTCAGCTTCATTTCCAGTCCTTAGAAACTTTTAAGGTTTTTAATTTTCAAATCTTTGCTATTCAGTTTTGTATTTTTGTGGGTGGTTGTATTTTTTGGATTATAGTATGTTACAAACCTGAGCTGTCTAGTCACAGTGACTGGTTGTAAATCCTGCCTGTGTCATTTGGGTAAGCTATGTAGCTTCTCTGTATACAGCTTCTGTGATTTAGCTAGAATCTGGCCTTTTTCTGGCATTCTTGTAACATGACTGATGTGAGCTGATCAGACTTACTGTATGTCTTTTCCTTGGTGACTCCAATGAAACTTTCTAAAAGTCATAACTTAAGACAGATTTCAGTTATGTTACCTATACAAGTTAAGTCTGCATTTATTTTTACTGCAATAGAGAAAAAAGACTTACAAATGCATACTTTTTACAGCCTTTTGCCTTGAATATCTTTGAGAAAATATTTAGCAGTTCTTGATCAGAAATTACACATAACTAGATATCCTTGTCACTTATTACTTATTATTGCATGCCTTTTAAAAATACATATTCACAGAGTTACAAAAGTAGATTAATACCAGGGCGCTTTGGTTTATTCTGCTAAACCCTATTTTTCATTAAAACAGTTATTTTAGAGGTGGTGAGCTAGCATAGTTGCTGAAGAGCTTCCTGCAAAACATGAGGGCCTTTGTCCACTTTCTTTGTCCACAACTCTTCATATTCCACATAAAAAGGAAGGTGTGGTGGCATGCGTTTAGGAGTCCCTATGCTGTCAGACCCATTGGGCTCACTGATAGCCAATCTAGTCTATGTGGCAAGTTCCAGCATGGTGAGAGACCCTGTTTTACAAAAAAAGGTGGCTAGGACCTGAGGCACAATATGTAAGGTTTGTTCTTTGGCTACAACAGCATTTACACACATGTATACTCACACAGAAAAGTAATAAATTCGCAGACTGACTGAAATCTACCATTATTGAAATGTTGGAATATGTAAATAAAAGCATATGGGCTAAGACAAAGGAAAAATGTAAAGCTGTGATAAAGGATGGCTGAGAATTTTGGCTTCAGAACTCAGACCTGAGCCTTAAGCTATAGAGCCAGGCAATAGCTGAAAGCTTTCAAATGTGTAACCCTATTTTTGTAAGACTTTGCAAAAATTTTAGCCTACTTGTATACATAACATTTTTGTAACTTGTGTACATAAATCAAGACAAATTAAGTTTTCTGGTAGATTTTTTGCTAATATATGGTGCTATATCAGGTCCTGTTTTGGTTACTAGTAACTAAATTAAATTTGGTACATTTTACCGTTTTTTGCATACCGAATAGACTTAAGTTTATTTAGGATAAGTTCTTGGGTTAATTATTAACATTTGAAACATGTTTTGTTATATTACCTTATAGAATGCATGTATTAGGTAGCCAAAGTCTTCTTTTTGTAAGTAATTGAAAAAATAAGGCAGTTTGTTATCACTGACAGTAATTTGGCAAGGATGGGGTTATAGGTGAGTAGGAGAACACTTGCACAGCATGTATAAAGCCCTGGTTAAACCCCCAGCACCAGTTAACAAAAACAAAATATTGCCAAAACGTTACTGAAGCATAATGTTATGATCAGTTCATATTCATTCTTTCATTTTTAAAATGTCCCTACTGGGCAGGCACGATAGCTGTGGCCAAAAGGAACTTTGTTGTACAACCCAGAGAACCTGCGTATGTTCCCCTAAACCCACAATGGGAAGAGATAACCAGCTCTTGGAAGTTTTCTTCTGCTCTCACATATGTACCAGCACATGCATAACACACATACACACACAAATAATAATGAATTTTATTTAAAAATTAAGAGAATTTAATGTAGATAATAGGTCATTTTTGATATTCTCTTAAATACTTGTGGAGATCAGAGCACAACTTTAGGGAATTCCTCTACTTCTACCATTTGACTCCAAGGAATTAAACTCAGCTCATCTGAGTAGCAGCAAGTGCTTATACCATACTGAGCCATCTCTCCAGCCATATAATTAATGTTCTTACTAACATATGTATGTGAACTAAAAGCTATGTATGGTGGAGCCTCTGGTTGCAGCTTCTTTAAAGACCAAGGCAGAATAACTTTATGAGTCCAAACTAGATAACTTAGCAAGACTATATTTAAGGAAAAAAGAAAACAAAATAAGCAAAACCTTGGCTAGGGCATATCAATGGTTATACATACTCTGGGTTCAATCTCCAGCACGAGCCTTAAGAGATGGCTATCAGTAAAGTGCTGCCTTACAAGCAAAAAGACCTAACTTCAGAGTCCCAGCATCCATTTACAAATTTGGGTGGCCATAGTAGCTTTACCAGTGTAGACAGCTAAGATAGGAGGGTCCCTGGAGCTTAATGCAAGGCCATGGGTTAGCCAAGTTTCAGAGCTAGGTTCAAAGAGATACCCTTTCTCAAAAAATAACACGCAGAGCTGTAAAGGAAAACAACTATGTCAACCTCTGAGCACCACACATGTACAGGCATAAACACACACACACATACACACACCTACACACACACACACACAGCAGGCATGTGTTGATAAATAATTATCAATATTAATTATCTTTTTGCTACCAAAGTAGATAATTCCAATAAACTATTTCATAACCTTTTTAAAGGTATATTCAATAAGTTCACTCCCCACTAATAAATATAGGTCTACACACACACACACACACAGATGTGTGTATATTGTATTTGCCTACCCAACCTAATACTGAACAGTTTTAGGTTTGTTTGTTTTTTTTTATTGTAGTTATTACAGTGAGCATCCCTGGGTTAGTTTCCTTATATAAATCTTTGCATACTTATGCATATGTTTGCTTTACCTGTATTTGTAGAAGTGAAATTGTTGGGACAAAGGCCATGAAAATGTCTAAATTATGTTTATTCTTATTGAAAATTTTTTAACCAGGAAAGTTGGGCCAATTTATACCTCCAGGCTAGTTTGGTTGTGGGGGGGGGTTGTTTTTTTTCTTTAATATTTGTTTGTTTGCTTGTTTCTATACTGACACTAAATACTTCAGCTCATTTTTGCCAGTATTACAGGCTACACATACTATTTTTTTACTCTAGCTATTTCTGTTTCTTCAGTGAATCAGCTCTTCAGGTCATTGGCTGTTTTCTTTTGGGTAGCAGTGCTCTGTTAATTTATTAATATCCTATTCAACAAGCCCTTCTATGACTTTGTGACTGTATAATAGTAAGCATAATTTTTCCCTGTGACATGAATAAGAAAAAGAAGACAACCATGTTTGAGGCCTTCTGGATTTGTGTTTGTACCATCAAAAGACAATTTTTCTCTTTGACATACAGTCATAACAATTTCAGAAAACCCCAAATTTAGCAGATTCCTAATGTGACATTATATTGAATGATTTGGAAGTGTGGTGGGAAGAAAACAGTTGGAACGAGAGTAATCCCCCTTTGTGCTTTACCTATATTTTATATCCACTTGTTCACAGTTCATTGGTAGGAGGCTATGTGGGTAAAATCATTTCCCACTCTAGGTAAAAAGAATCAAGGGCATGAATTCTGAAGTTATACTTCCTAATTAACATTTGGGAGCCAGTGAGATGGGTCAGCCAGTGAGCCTGGCAACCAAAGTTGCCACCCACATAGTAGAAGTAGAAATGGACTCCCACAAGTTGTCCTCTGACTTCCACAGTTATGCATATATATCATATAAAAAGTTTTAATCCAATAAATTAACGATCTGTTTGGGGGAGGTTGTGATAGCATTTACTACTAGTAACAACATTTCCTGGAATATCAAAGTTTGATCCTGATAAAATAGCTTTGGCTTGCCATTAAATGTAATTGTCCCTAGATCGCCACATCTTTTTGACAGTAAATATATGTACTCGGTAAACTGGTAGATTATTAAGTTAGATGTGAAGTGTTTGTGGCCACAGGTATACATGTCACTGCTTCTTTAGTAATATGGGCTACTTTATATTCATTGCAGTGAGCATAGAATATATTTTAATGAAATTTTACCTGTAACACATTTCTTAACTCTAATGTTATTACCTCAAGGAAGACACAGAAGAGAAGATTCTGTGATAATAGCTGTAAAACTATAGTACTCCAGGTTGAGATCCTGGGAGCACAGTACTACATACATCTTGTTTCTTTGTCAGATTTTTCAAGCTCACTTTAGCCAAAATAAAACAAAATTTTTTGAGATGGTGTTTCTCTGTAGCCCTGGCTGTCCTGGAACTCCCTTTGTAGACCAGGTTGACCTCAAACTCAGAGATCTGCCTGCCTCTGCCTCCCGAGCACTGGGAATAAAGCCATGCACCACCACTGCCTGGCAAAATAAGACAATACTTTAAGCTGTCTGTAGACAACAGTTAACTTTGATTTAAGGACAATTTTGATTTTGAAAATTTTGTTAATAGGGATATCATTTTTAAAGATATGTTTAGAAGATACTATTCAGCTTGATTTCTGTACATTGTTAAAATGGTGTTCTCTCCTATCAGATTATGTTTGTTAAATATGGTTTCCTTTGTAAAAGAAATGCTAATCAAAACTATTTGAAATACCTACTTCAGAAATAATATATGGGAAAGCACAACTACTTGCTTATGACAAAAGAGCTATAAATGACACTGAACATATTTTAAACTGAATTCTTTGTCTTTACTAAAATAAAACATGCTTCAGTCCTCCTTCACTTATATTTTTGGTTGTGAGCCTAGGCTTTAATGGCTGAGCCATCTCTCCAGCCTTACTACTTCACTTGTAAGCCTTGGGACGTAGGGGTTTGTTGTTGTTGTTGTTGTTGTTGTTGTTGTTGTTGTTGGGTTTTTTCAGTCTCTAAAAACTCCCAGTTACTTGTTCCAAGTCATATTTTTCAAATGTAAACATTTCTAAGAGTAAGGAATCTCAAAAAGGTGAAAGTTTCCACTAGTCACAGTATGACAGGCAGGTGAATCAAGGCAACACTACTGGATTAGCTTTCTTTTCCATACTAAGTGACAGTTCCCTGTTCTTTGGGAATAACATGCCTTTTATATATTTGCAACAAGGAATTCTGCATTAGTCACACCACCTCACTCAATCAGATTTCAGAGCCTAGAGGTATTTTTTGTTTTTTCTAATTTTAGCTTTTTACAATTTCAGAATATAGAGCTGGAGAGATGGTTCAGTTATTTAACACTAAAGGTCACAACTAAAAGGACAAAATTACAGAATATGTTATTAATTTATTATTAATAAATTATTAAATTAATATGTTTCTCAGCCCTAAAATCCATGGTCACCTGCATTGTCTTAAGAATTATGAGTAAAGTACTGAAATGCTATTAGTATTTGGTATGAAAATAGATTTTGGAGTCCATGTTAACAATTTTATCACAAACTTTTAGGATGATTGCCAAATCAGGAAATGCTTAAAACTTTACCCATTTTCAGTAACTAAAATTGTATTCTAAGATCCAGAAAGCTTGATATAACAGTATACACCTCTGTAACAAATTGATACATCCTTTAATATAAAAAAATTACTATTTAAGAGTTTATGTCTCAACTTTATTTCTAAATGTTCAAACCCAGCTTCCTCTTTAGTATGCCTGGCAAGCACAATAGACTTTATAACTTTATAAATATTTGTACTCAGAGCAAATTTTTAATATTAGTGTAAGAAATACCTTCTGATTCTGCTTTCCTTTATGTACTTATTACTAAGATTATTGTGTTGGCATTATTGTCTAACACTCCACTTTGTTCAAAACATCTCAAACTGTGAGTTTGTACATTTTCATGAAATTGTCTAAGTAAATGAATTAGGATTCTGAGAATATGAACTGTTCTGTTTTCTTTGCTTATCTCGGTTATATAACAGGAATAAAATTTAGTAGGAGTAGACAAATATAGATGTTCAAAACCCTGGATTCAGTCCTCAGCAAAGAGAATGGAAGGTAGACATTGTGAAATAGTAAATTTAAAAGTGGTTATGTGTAAGTGTTAGTTAGCATAAATGGGTATCACTAATAGTATTTGTAAAATAAATTCAGAACAAAGAAATTAGAATAAAAGAAAGGCTTATTTTATGTTGGTTTATGTTCAAGAGAGATTAGCTGGTATGGTATAATAAACTTTTATAATGAACTTTGACACATAAGTTTTCTAAAAATCTCTGTAGAGTCTTAAATATCGGGACACTGGGACTGGATGATGATGATGGTGGTGGTGGGGGTGGGGGGGGGGGGGGGGGGGGGGGGGGGGGGGGGGTGTGTGTGTGTGTGTGTGTGTGTGTGTGTGTGTGTGTGTGTCTTTTGTCCTCAGTGTTCCATGATTTGTGCTTCAGTACATCATCTCTGTATTGTTAATAAAGGATGCATAGCCCAAGTTCATGTTACTTGAGTGAAGCAAAGATTTTCCTGCATTTCTCTTTCCCTACCTACTCCATTAACCTGGATATGTGGAATGTGACTAAACTCATCATTTCCATGTACAACTTACTAACATCAGCTTTGTAAGCGTGCTGTTTCTGAATTGAAGTAAGCAATATCATTCTGGTTTAAAGATAGTGACTTATCTACTACATGTGAATTCTCATGACTTTATTTTTCTTTTCAAGGTTGAAGAGATGGTACAGAACCACATGACTTACTCATTACAGGATGTAGGTGGTGATGCGAATTGGCAACTAGTTGTAGAAGAAGGAGAAATGAAGGTAATTCCCACACAAATTACTTGGATTGCTAACTGAAGGGTGCTGATTTAAGTAAAAGAAGTACCATAGCTTCAATTCTATTCATTGATCTGTATTCATAACAAATATATAAGCATAATATTCTGCTTTGTATAGACAACAGAGAGTAAAATTTGAGAGTTTATATGTAAAACAAACCTCCATCCGCTGGTGACTTCCCTCCCCCCCATCTCTCTCCCCCCCTTCCTCCCCCATGAGGGTGTCAATCTCCTAGAACATCTAGTTGCCAGGAATTGAGCCTAGGCCCTCTGGCAGAGAAGCCAGTGCTCTCAACCACTGAACCATCTCTCCAGCCCCTAGATATTTCTTTCAGTCTTTGATTTAAATATAGTAAATGTTGTTCTTAGACATTACTTTGTTTCTCTTCTCTTTGGTCTATACTGTCTCCCACCCTATACTCTCTGTTCAGAGGAGCCATTATCCTCCTTTGGAGATATAGATGTGAAGGAATAAAGAGAAACCAGGAGTATTTAATAATCTAAGTGAAGTTCTTCTACCTGTAATGAGGAGTAGAGAAAAGGCATTCCTCTAACCCACAGCACTAGATAGAGACAGAACAGAGAAATTGGGGTTAGATTATCAGAATCAAAGTAAGCCACCAGTGAGAAAGTTGATTTTCTGTCACAATAGGTTTTCCACTTTATGTAGCATGTCATTTAAGAGAGGTTAAACAGATTTGGAAGAATTAAATGAGAGAGCCGAAAGACCACTCAAGAACATCAAGCGCAATATTATCAAGACCTACAGTAAAATATATAAGCAATGGTAAGGAAGCCGGCTGCTGTATGCTTTAGAGAGAATCAGAAATATGCTTAATAGTTTTGGAAACTTTGAATGTAGAAATTTTTAATGTTCAATTTCCAGTTTGAGTGATGATGAAACTGGTAATCCTGATAATGTGCATAAATAAGCATGTGGAGAAGAGATGGCACAAGACAGACTGTCAAGTGTGAGCATGCCATAACAAGGCAGCTTGTTCTTGCCACATTTCTTTATTTCTGGAAAGAATTTATCAGAGATTTCTCTAAAGTAGCAAACTGTAATTTTGAAATAATGGGTTACACTTAGGGTACACAGCCTCAGTATTTTAAAAAACATCAATCTGTGTTTATAATCCATTTGCCATTTCTGCTTCCAGTGTTTTGTTCAACAAATTGAGCACCTAGTGTATTTCTAATACTGTTCCAGATGCATTGAATGGGATGTAGCATTGAGCAAAGCAGCATTAAGCAGTGTGTTTGGTACTATTTTCTAACCAGGCTCGTTTGGCCTTGTTGGCCATGTCAAACAGCTTTTGAGAATATTTGATTCATAATGCTAATTTATATTATTCTTTAATCTGTAGCAATTAGTCATCCATCATATATATTTTTTCTTTCTTTTTGTTTTTGTTGTTGCTGTTTTCTTTTTTTGTTTTTGTTTTTCGAGACAGGGTTTTTCTGTGTAGCTTTGGAGCCTGTCCTGGAACTCGCTCTGTAGACCAAGCTGGCTTCAAACTCACATAGATCCCCCTGTGTCTGCCTCCCAAGTGCTGGTATTAAAGGTGTGCACTACTACCGCCTGGATAAATTTTTCATGGTTGAAATTTACCTTAGAGCCAGGCATTGGTGGTGGTGCACACCTTTAATCCCAGCACTCAGGAGGCAGAGGCAGGTGGATCTCTGTGAGTTCGAGGCTAGCCAGGTCACTAGAATGAGTGCCAGGATAGGCTCCAGAGCTACACAGAGAACCCTGTCTCGGAAAAAGAAAGAAAGAAAGAAAGAAAGAAAGAAAGAAAGAAAGAAAGAAAGAAAGAAAGAAAGAAAGAAAGAAATTTACCTTAGAACTGGGCATAGTGACACACACCTTTAATCCCAGCACTCAGGAGGCAAAGGCAGGCAGATCTATCTCTGAGTTCTAGACCAGTCTGGTCTACAGAGTGAGTTCCAGAACAGCCAGGACTGCATAGTAAGATCCTGTCTCAAAAAAACAAGAGCAACAATGAGACAGAAAACAGGGGGGCAAGGGAGAGGGAGGGAGGGAGGAAGAGAAGGAGAGAGGGTGGGAGGGAGGGACAACTTACATTAAATTTGTCATTTTGAAATATTCTTGTCATATAAATTTTAATTCCTTGTAGCAGAATATGTTCTAAAATAAATTATCATAACTATAATTCTAAAAAACTGCATTTCTGGGACAGGGTCTTACTGTGTAATCTAGTTTGGCCTCACACATGTTATATAAGCCAAGCTAGCCTTGAACTTGTAGTCATCATGCTTTATCCTCTCATGTGCTGAGATTACAGGCCTTGCAAAATCAGCTCAGCTTGGAAGCATACTTTCAAGATGTACTTTAAGAGTCTATAACTTTGTTTTTTTTAATCTTGGCAAAACAGTGAGAAGTTTTTTATTAAAGGGACAGTGCAGGATGCATTACATGAGAGCCGCAGGCTACCTGATGTAGAATGCTGAAGAACCAAGTGTTAGAATTTTATTTTTCTTTAATATGTTTTCCTTAGGTATACAGAAGAGAAGTCGAAGAAAATGGAATTGTTCTGGATCCTTTGAAAGCTACCCATGCAGTTAAAGGTGTTACAGGACACGAAGTCTGCAATTACTTTTGGAGTGTTGATGTTCGCAATGACTGGGAAAGTAAGCTGTCATCATTGATACATCAAATAATTATTTTCCTTTTCAACTTAATGTCAAATCAAACCTGATTGTATCTGATAGTTTACCAACTCATTGTAGAGAATATCAGAAGAATCATATATAGGATTAATTATACACTAATTTCATTTGCAAGTGGTGGTAGTGGGATCAAAATCAGGTTCTCACATATGCCAGGCAACTATTCTACCACTGAGCTACCTCCACAGACCCATAACTTACTTTTAAGGTTGGGTCTCACTGTAAGCCAGGCTAGCCTTGTATTATTAGTCCCCTTTTTAAGCCTTCCAAGTTATATGATTACAGGTATGTACAACCATGCCTCATAATAATTTTCAGTAGACCTTTTCGCTGTCTAAAACACTTAAGATATATCATTATATCACAGGATCCAGTATTCTAATAGTATCTCAGGATCGGTAGGTATTTCCCATACAAGTGAAGTAAAATTCATTTGCATCAAATTATTTGTTAGTGGTGACAAAGCAAGTTAGTAGAAAAGTCAGGATTGCTATGGGAGATTTTGCTATGTACTTTTCCTAAACTGTCTTGTTCTGTACAAATTGCCAAATGAATCATACTGTATTCAGGTTAGAATTATTTTCATGTATGTTTTCTTAGACTCACAATTTATAAATACAATTATCTCATAAGGTATCTATCTATCACTGGCATTTTAGCATTTGTTCCTCACAAGTATAATCACCTATACCAAACTAGAACACATTAACTTAGTTAAGTGAAAGAGGAGTGGGCAACATTAGGGAATATTTCAGCTGGGGTAATAGAGTAGTGATTAGAATTGCTTGTCTTCCTATGGAAGATACTATACTAAAGAAAACTTCCTGGTAATCAGATCCCACAGCCACCTTCTGTAGCCCTAGTATCAAGTACTAGCTCTCTTCCATTTAGGTTTTGGCCTAGGGAATGTTTGTTTTACCAGGATGGACATTCTAGAAAGTGAAATCTTTTTTTTTTTTTCAGCTGCTAATATGATTCTTTTCATTTCAGCTACTATAGAAAACTTCCATGTAGTGGAAACATTAGCTGATAATGCAATCATCATTTATCAAACGCACAAGGTAATGATCTATCATTTGTTCCCAAAGATGCCAATAATTCAGACTCAAGCATACAGATTTGCTGCAGTAAAATTTGTCGGGAATTTACATTTAAATCCCAACAAAAGACCCAAAGACATTTGTTTGTTTGTTTGTTTGTTTGTTATAGGGTCTTTCCATGTAGCCTTAGCTATCCAACTATGTAGATCAGGCTGACCTTGAACTTACAGAGATCTGCCTATCTCAGTGCTAGTATTAAAGGCATGTGCCAGTAAATCCAGCAAAACCCAAAGACTTTATTACACCCTTAGAAATGTCATATATTGAAAATTCTATCAGTTCATTTAGAACAGAAATGTATGGGGGTATGAATCTAAGGAATAGTCTAGAAGCAGCCCTGGATGAAGAACTGTAGTTAGTTTCTTTCTATGTAGATCAGAAGTATAGAAAGGACCTTCTGAACTTGATTTAAATTCTCTTTAGTGTCTCACTTTATAAATGGTAGTTATCAAATACACACAAGTGACAGTTCTCTATGACAGAAATGAAGGGGAGGGAATATGGCATTAACTATATGAAGATATGGAAATTGCCTAGATTATCTGGAGACAAGGAAAAGTTGAGAGATTGGTCATACTATTAAAGCACACTGAAACAGTGTTTAAATTGATTTCCTTTATATTAGTTCTCCATTGCTTTTCGATTTATGTAAAGTTACTGAGTAATTATAGTATTTCTCTTGCCTTTTTTTCTGTTTGTTATGCTGTTTTCCTTTGGGTGTAAGCGGACCAACCGCCTGTTCTATTAATCAGTTCCCAGCAACCACATGGTGGCTGACAACCATCTATAGTGGGATTTAATATTCTCTTTTGGTGTAAAGGGATACATGCAGATAGAACATTCGTATATACATAAATAAATCATTTTTTATAATTTTTTATTTACATTGATTTTTGCCTGCATGTTTATCTGTGTGAGGTGTCAGATCTTCTAGAACAAGAGTTATAGACAGCTGTGAGCTGCCATGTGGGTGCTGGGAATTGGACCCAGGTCCTCTAGAAAAGCAGCCAGTGCTCTAAACCACTAAGCTATTTCTCCAGCCCCAAAATAAATAAACCTTAAAGGGGGCCACTGGAGAGATGGTTCAAAGGTTAAGAACACTGGCTACCCTTCCAGAGGTCCTGAGTTCAAGTCCCAGCAACCACATGGTGGCTCACAACCATCTACAATGAAATCTGGAGCCCTCTTCTGGTATAAGGCATACATGCAGGCAGAATGCTGTGTACATAATAAATAAATCTTTTTAAGAAAAGAAATTATTAAAAATAAGGACAGAGTTCAATTGCATATACCAAATATTCAGCATAAAAGTAATTTGAACAGGATAGGAGTTTAGTTTTCTATCATTTAAAGTAGATGTTAGTTTTGTCAATAAGCTGCATGTCATTTTTTTTCATACCTTAAATAGTTTTCTTATACCTTAAAATAGCAAATAGTTTTTCTTATACCTTAAAATAGAAATATTCAATAAATGGTTTAAAATCAGTTCATTAGTGTTTTAGAGAAGATGTTTTAATTTTCCTTTTAATTCTTTGATTCTCTAAACAGAACATTGACAGACTGTGGGGAGTGGGATGTCCTATTGCTGTTTCATGGCTACAAAGTTTCTGTCTGAGGTGATGATTTCAGGAGTATTGCATATATATATTGTCACTGTAACTAGTTCCGTTCAGTGTACTAGTACAATAACAATAGTTAAAATAGTGAATTTACAGTACTTTAAAAAGGAAAAAGAGTATTACCCTTTGAGTATTCTGGAAAGCTGGTGATGGTTCATGCTGCATCCTTGACAGTACTCTGACTTCCCACTTAAATTCTGGTAAATTCCAACTTCATGATACTTAAGTGGTTCCTCATATGTTTCTTTTCTCTGTATGACACCTTAATAAAAGTAACTCAGATTGTCAAAATTCTTTTCATTCTTCCACAGAGAGTGTGGCCTGCTTCTCAGAGAGATGTACTGTATCTTTCTGCTATTCGAAAGATCCCAGCCTTGACTGAGAACGACCCTGAGACTTGGATAGTTTGTAATTTTTCTGTGGATCATGACAGCGCTCCTGTGAGTAGAGTATAGAAATGAATAGAATTCTGCAAAATAAAGCTAAATGCATAATGCAGCCAAACCCCAATCCAGTAACGGTGTAGAAACGATTAAATTTTTATATATCAAAAACTGGATTTATTTATAGCAATCTGTCCTGAGGCAAAATGAAGACATGTATGGTTTCAGTGGAATAATGATGAGATCGTAGAAACCAGTCCTCTATGTAATTACAATTAAAATGCTTCCCTAAACTACACATTTGTTAAATAGACTTCAATAAAGTTTTGCTCCACAAAAAAAATAAATAAATAAATAAATAAATAAACACACTTCCTCCCACCCACACATAGATACTTGATTTGATGTGATTTAGATTTTTTGCTAGATTGCTTGGGACAGACAGCCCTTGTGTTTTCTGAAGACAAGTGTCAAGGCTATCAGCACCCCCACTAGAGCTATTTAGCTTTCCTTCTGAGTTTGGTAAGATAGCTTCTTGGGTAGTCCAAATAGCTTACTTCCTAAAGTTATTTCTTAAGCCATTACTAACTACTGCACACCTGTTGTTCCTGCTTGATTTAGTACCATTTAGCACTTTGGAAGGTGAAAAAGCCTGGTATCTATCAGTTTGACATATGTTAATTGGTGATTATAAGATTTTAAATGGGGGCTAGAAAGATGGCTCAGCAGTTAAGAAACTGGGTGCTCTTCCAAAAGACCCAGATTCAACTCATAGCACTGACATGGTGGCTCACAACCATCTGTGTATCTTGTATCAGGGGACCTGACATCCCCTTCTGGCCTCTGGGCAACTGTACACACAATGTGCTCAAGTAAAACATCTGTGCACATAAAATAAAAGTATGCATCAGTTATTTTAAGGAAGTTTTACTAGAGACTTCATAACAGTTTAAACTAATGAATAATAGGGCAACAGAGATTATAAAATAAGGACTATTCTACAAACTGATGTTAGTTTGTGTGTCTGTTTTGACAGCTGAACAATCGATGTGTCCGTGCCAAAATCAATGTTGCTATGATTTGTCAAACCTTAGTAAGCCCACCAGAGGGAAACCAGGAAATAAGCAGAGACAACATTCTGTGCAAGATTACATATGTAGCTAATGGTATGTATTTCTTGTTTGTTTGTTCTAATTGATAATGTGCAGGTTCTTGACCCATCTTCTACATAAAAATATCCAGTTGCCTAGACTTTAAGCTGACGATGTTATATATAGAATTGTGTGGAAGATATTGAAAGTCCACATGCCTGAATTTCTACCTTAGAACTAGTATATGGGAATTTTTAAAGTTATGACTGGATACATAAGTTTTAAAACTTCATCTTTAGGTCACTGTTTCATATATCCTTAGTTTTAAGAACCATCTTATTATATAGTTGCCTGGTAGAATATATTTATAATTAGAAATAGAAACAAGAGTGGGAAAATTATTTAATTAGACCTTTATTTTTCTGAATCCTCTCTCCCAGTCTTTAAAAGCTGCCAGTATCATTACTTCATTTTTGACTCACTGTTGGACAGACTTGTCTGTCACTTGTGTTTGCTCCTTACTGCACCTGCTCTGCATCTGCAGCTGCATCCTGATGCAGTCTTTCTAATCAAATGCCTGACATCACTCAAAGCCTACTCAAATATATAAAGAAACACTCGTTACTACTTAGTTCAGTAGTAACATGCTACATCCTTTCCTACCCCACCTGATGGGTTGGCATTGGGTGGTAAATAGTTTCAGATCAAGAAATGTTAGCCGCTCTAACATGGGGGATTTTTGAAAAGCAAATACATAGACATAGTTCTCCATCTCCATGTAACGTCCTTTTATTTACAGTGAACCCAGGAGGATGGGCACCAGCCTCGGTGTTAAGAGCAGTGGCAAAACGAGAATATCCTAAATTTCTAAAACGTTTTACTTCTTACGTCCAAGAAAAAACTGCAGGAAAACCAATTTTGTTTTAGTATGTACAGGTAAGGAGGATCTGTTATCCTTGTTGACAAGCAGGTTGTAAATTTACTCTGCAGATAGTAAACTCAATTAGGAGGTATTGAAAATGTTTTGTGTCCTTTTTTCTTTTTGAAAACACACAGTTTTAAAAGTAACATATATATTTGTATTAACCCAAGTATAGAATGTGCAGTGTACACAAGTTAGCTAAAAACACAAGTTTTCTGTTTGAGCAGATGAAAGACATCTATCAATTTTATAAGTCATTTGAACTGTATAACCAAACTGTCGTGAGGGCTCTGTAGCCAACAAGATTTATCATGTCTCATCAAGTCTCAGAGCTGTTCCTATCTTGAGGGATCAGCATATATACGTCACCTGTTCTGCAGTCTTTCCTGGCTTTTTCCCCTCATGTCTGTAGCCAAGATCCTCAGGAGGTCTCCCCAAGTAAAATATGATCTCTCTTAACGTTGAAGGAATTGAGAGCTTTTTTGGTTCCTGTGGAAACAAAGGCGTATCCTCTCCAGGCAACATAACACATATCCTGGACCCATCTTCTTACTTGGGTACCGCTGATCCAGACATAGGTTCTCATGAGTACCTTACTGACTGAGTCATTTCCCCAACCCCTGAAAAGAATAATTTTTAAGCATTTAAAATAAACATGCTAAGACATTCGTAGCATTTGTCTCCAGTGTGCTGGGTTCAAAGCAGTGTTTCATTGACTTGGCTATACATGTGTAGAATGGAAATAAGTGAAATCCTTTTTTTAAAATCTCTAATGTAGAAAGTAACATTGTTTGTAGATAAATGTGTATATAAAAGTAGATACATATAAATAGATACAGGAATATTACCCCCCCCCCCCCCCCCCACCCAAAATCCAACATACATTAAACATTCTTATTAACCTTACATGGCTTGTTTTTTCACAATAATTATGGGAGGTGTTTTAGTGGGTCCTAACATTGAAAGCTTAGGAAAACTTAACAGTTTTAATTCTGGTAGTGTGGGTGTCATTGTTTGGGACATTCTGTCAGGAGTTGATGATAGCCAAAACTCTTGGGCCAGCGGTTGGAGAATATTTATTTTTTTGAATAAGACAGACACCACCCCCACACTCACTAACTTAAATAGAATTATCAAGTTCTTCAAAATAGTATTGTATTGCAATTTCTCCATGAGGCTGATTGGAAGACAATGCTAGTTCATAGGCTAGTACTCCAGAAACCTGATAGGTATCCTCTTTACTTACAGCATGTTGCTCTCCATACATTTTCCCTGTAACTTTTAAAATATCCCTTTGTATTTTCTGTTGCTTGCAGAGGATAAATTTTCAAATATATAAGGTCAATAATTTCACATTCACAAGGCTGAAAATCCTTTAAAGTATTACGTGAACATGGAGGGTGGGAGGCATCTATTCTGGTAGTCTTCATATTTTTCTAATACATTGCATAGATCTTATATGTCATTTTTTTTCCCCTGAAGTGACTGAAGCAAGGCTGTGTGACATTCCATGTTGGAGAAAGAAAGAAGAAAAATTGAGTTCTCTAAGCTGGAACATAGGATCTACAGCCTTGTCCATGGCCCAAGAAGAATCATTGCAATAGTAAAGCTGGGTATCTAACACTAGCCATCTCCTGATAGATCTCCTTGCTCAATGTGTAACTATAAATACATGTAAAATCACATGTATATGGCTATATTTTTATTTGCTTGCTCCTAGGAGAGAAGAAAAATTAACTTTGAATTACAACTAGGAATTAATTGCTTTAATTTTGGGGAACTTTTTCAGAATTTTTTATTTACCGTGGTCCAGCCTAAGGTCCTCAGTTGTATCAAGCTTTGTGCACAAAAGAAAAGCACAGAAGTTGAATGCACCTGAGGCTTGTGCTCTCTGTGCACCAAATATTCAGATGGGCTTTTACAGGCCTACAGTCTGTGTCTGTGTCTAGAAGTTTTTGACTTTTTGCTTTGTATAATCATAGAATCTATTGCTGCTGATTTCTATAAGGATTCATGTTGTGTGTCTCTTCATAACTGAGGACTGTCGATAACCTGTGATTTTGCCTTTTCTATTATCTTTCTCCCATGAAGAACATTGGTTCTGATGGAGAAAGAATGAAAAGCTTTATTTTCTCCCCCAGATAACTTTATATTTTTATTATATACTTTAGTTGTGTACTATATGCTACCAACTTTTTTCAGTTTGTTACGAACACAATTTGGTAATTCCTAAATTGGTTCTGCCTGCTTCCAGTCAGAAACATCTGTACATCTCTTGTGGGTATAAGTACTTTATAATACAATGGTCAGGATAAAATTAGTTCATATTTTTCCTGAAATTTGTAAGAGAATATATGGTATTACTTGTTAAACCAAATCAAACTGTTTGAATTTGACATTTGATTTAATATTTCTAGTATTCTGTAACAAATATGTTAGTTTTTCTAGCTTGAATCACTTTAAATGATATATCAAAAGGTATACATAGAAAATCTGAGCAATGCTCCCATTTGCCTCTTGATCATAAATTTCAGCAGAACAGTACGATTCCACACTATTCAAACTGAAATGCTTTTTTTAGTTGCTATAAGAAACCAACATGTAAAATACCTGACTTATTTGTAGTCCTCTGTGAAAAACTTTGAAGCATGGAGTTGAGGCAAGGAATGGTACTCAATGAAGTTGAGATGACTGCCCACTTCAAACTCTTCATTGTGTTTACAAGCAGATGTATTTATGTATATCAGAGGCATTTGTAGATGCTTTGCTGGCGTGTTCCTCTCCTTAGAAACACAAAAATCAGACCCCTTTTGTAAAGCAGAAAGTCATGTCATGTAAAACATGATCTGTATATATTCCATACATGGAAATGGAATCTAAATGATAAGTGCAAGGTGTGATAATTTAATGATGGGATTAGTCTGATCAATTAATATGCACAATCCTGGAAGTGAATTACTTGCATCAGATAGAATGATATTTATTACTCTGTACAGAGAGAAAAGTACATATAAAACATAGAGCTTACATTACATGCACGCAGTTTCATGTCCCATAAATCTTTTTATATTTTTTAATTTACCTTTCTCTAAATGATGTGCATGGAATATGCCTTATTACAGAAATGCTATTCATAATTTGACTCTGTGGAAAAGTGCCTATATAGTGGTAATGCTAGGAAGGCAAGTAAGACAGATTATCATACCAGTTTACATCACCAGTTAACATTTTATATTGTGATGTTTAAAAAAAGAAAAATTTATACCTCAAATGTGTATTTTATTTTACAATCAGCTGTGGGGTTGGGATGGGAGAACTGGGAGGGTTGGGAGGGAAAGTTTATTTGCCATAGGCACTGGTGGGAATCTTTAAAAAAAAAAAAAAGAAAAAGAAAAAAAAAACTCTACACCCACTATAAATGTTCCTCTGTTTGCATCTCTGGTAACTATGATGAACCAGACAAGAAACTCTTTCATAACTAAATCAGATAACTTTATTTACAAAGATATGCAAGTTTCTGAAGCAATGTCTGAATCTAATTATCACCAGTTGGATTTGCACTCAATGTGGTGATATTTTACAGTTTAGTCTGTAAATAAAATCACACTGAAAATGTTTATATTTAAAAAGATAAGAAATGATACATTTTACCTTTCAGTAATTGCACTTGTACTTCATTGGAGTTAATCCTGCCCAATCAGATTTAGAACTGAGTTTAGAAATGTGTAAAGTATTCAAAAAAGTCAACGTGAAGAGGAGCACTGGCCATTTTTTATAATATTCAGACCCTCAAGAATTACTTTCATTTGGCTAATTCCTACATACTGAATATTTATGATGTTTCTTCATACATGGGTATTTCTCTTTATCTAAACCCCCATTCCATGCCTCCCGCCTTATGCTTAATTCTCCTGGATTATTTTGTGCTATGTTAGACACCTGAAAAATATTGATGATGTGGGGATTTGTTCCTGCATGTGAGTGAACTGGATGAGAGAGCAGTGTGTGCATTCCCCTTGGGATTGAGGACTCTGTATTTGAGGTGGAGAAACTTGATTTAGTGTTTCTACAGGAGCAGCAGCAGAGGAAAGAAGGGGGTACCTAAGAGAGGTGTGAGGAGGAAATGAAAGAAAGGAAACATGGCTTTCTCATATGTTCGTTTTCATGACTAATTTATACATCTATACAATATCAATGTCAGTTGCTACTGAGAATTTTAGCTGGGCTGAGCTGGTTTGCTTGTGAAATTGTGCTGGTTATCTTTAAGCTTATCAGTTATTTGTCCGATCAGACACTTTACCAGTATTTAGTCCAGGCTGTACAGATGATGTATTTGAATTGTCGTCATTGTTCATCTACAGACTCAAAACATAATAATCATTTTCAAGTACCTTGGGAGTGTGTAGAGTATAACTATAATAGCTTTATGATTCTGATGATGTTTTTTTTAAAAAAAAATAAAAGATGGATCTTCCATGTTACAATCACAAATTAAAACCAGTATTTAAAAGTGGAGAAGTATTAAAATATTATGGACAAATATGTTTGCTCGCTTGATTTGTTTTCCTTAACCCCAGGATACTGTCTTAAACAATTTTGGTAGTTTTAAAAGTTTTATTGAATTATTTCAATTCGGTAATCCTGTTTGTATCCTCATTAGCAAATCAGAACAGGCATATACTAAACGTAAGTATTCTGTCAGCCTTTTGTCATATATATTATGTATATTGTGTGATGGATTACAATTTAAACGAATTTATTACGAATTACTCTTAAAAGTCTTATTGCTAGAGAGTGAAGCCACATACAGTTTCTGAGTTTCTAAAATGGAAGTGCAGCACCTGTGGGTCACACATATGTAATGTATATTCATTCATACACTCTTAATCATAAATGCATAATTTTTCATTTATCTAAGAAATACCAGCTCTGCTTGTTGCAGTTCTAGAACAACTGTCATGGGACTTGTATTGTACTCATTGGGGTCTCTCTTTGATTGTGTTGAAAAGCATTGACTGCATTTCATCTCTTAGAGTATTTGCAGTGTGAGCTGTTAGCATAAGCCAACTACCTAATTTGGGATGTGATCACACTGTTTGGCCTATTCCTTGAGTTGTTCTACTGGGTGCCTACAGCTTTCTTCAGCTAATTTCCCATATTCTCCAATATTCTGATGTCTCCACAACAACTTAATCTTCACCTTCAAAGCTTCATGCATAGCTCTTTGAGGAATTCCTTACAGGGCATCTGACCAATACATGTGCTTCCTGGTCTCAATTGCTTTCTGGAGCCTTGGTGCAAGCCCCCACTGCATTCTGTGTATCTGTAAAAACAGCATCTCAGCCAGGTGTGGTCGCACATGTCTTCAGTCCCAGCCAGCACTCAGTAGGCCAGAGGTGGATGGATCACTTGAGTTCGAGGCCAGCTTGGTCTACAAACATCCAGGGCTACACAGAGAAATGCTGTCTCCAAACAAACAAATAAAAAAGTACCCATCTACAGAGTTCACTATAGGATACCACACCCAGAGACATGGATGATCCTTCCCATCAAGTAATCCTCTCTGGAAAGGCCTTACAGACTAAAATGAATGCCCTAGATGTTCATTAATCCAGTCAAGTTGATTGTCAAAACTGGTCATCACAATTACCACTTGGTGTCTTGTCCTTCCACTGAGAGGGATGAGACAAGAAAATAAAACATCACTACAGACAAATCCAAACGGGATGTTTCACAGTTTCTTCAACTTGAGGGCATGTTCTAATAGCGCACTTTTGTGGGCTACCTGCCACAAATACAGCCTCTGATAAAAGAACAAACTTTAATTCTATCCAAGTCGGTTTACTGTGGTCATTTCTACTACTTATTTGAATTTGGAGGATGAGTGGTAGGTAGCTGAACAGCGAGGAATCTGTGCAGCAGCTGAGTCAAGGCTTAGTCAGGGTCTAAACCATTTGGGCAATCTAAGTGGTTACCAATAATTCTCCAGCACACAAAACAATCCCCAGAATAAATATTTCTGTGTTCATATTTTTGTGGTGTTTCAAGATCAAGCCCAGGCCTTGTTCACAATAACAAATGTTCTCCCGCTGGGCAGTAAGTAGTTACTGAGCATCTATATGCCATGCAGTGATCTAGTATTTAGGATATAGCAAGAAACAGGGTGGCTGCGATTTGTTTCTGTTGTTACAAAGCGTTTTAGAACTATATCAAAATTAAGTGGAAATGGGCTCTGAGATCATGGTCATTTGAATGTACTTCAGACTAAGTCACATTTGAGACATCCAAAGGGCCTTTTTTTCTTTCTTTCTTCTTCTTCTTCTTCTTCTTCTTCTTCTTCTTCTTTCTTCTTCTTCTCTTCTTTTTTTTTATTTTGACAAGCTTCTCTGTTTAGCCCAGGTTAGCATTGAATTGACAGTTCTGCCTTAGACTCCTAAGTGTAGGAAGCTTGTTTATTATTATTATTAGTTGTGTGATCAAAAGTTAATGGGTTGCCAGTCAAAGATCCCAGACTAGCCTAGATCATACATTCTGTATACCACGCCAGTTTAGTGAGTCTACCTAACTTTAACCTGCCTGCACCATAGCCAGTCTCCAGGCCTAGCCTAGTTTTCACATGCCATGTACCTTTCCAGTCTAGTGAGTTTCCTAGACCATAGCCTTCCTGCACATTCCTCAATCCCAAGACTTAACCCTGGGTCGCACACCATGTATGCTGTCCATACTGGGATTTTTTTAGAAACTCACCTCCTTATGCTACCCCCAATCTTTAGGCCTAGTATCCTCAAGTGCACAGAACAGCCTTTATATGTTGGTCTAGACTGAAGAATGCCCACCCACACCATCTTCGCACTGCCTAGCTTAGCTCATGTAACACAGCTTGCACATCAGCCGAAGAAGATCCAGCCATTTGTCTCACTCACTTTTTTTAACACTGAATTGGAATCACAAGTATTCTTTCCATTCAAAATCAACACTATCTGAAGGATTGACCTACCAGATCCACCTGATCTGAGATCACCCAAGGTGGGGCAAAAACAAAACTCAAACCAAATTTCCGTTCAACAGCCTAGAATTTTATTTCAGACACACAGCTAGCAAAAGGTGTTCACATGCCTAGCTAGGTCTTATTGCAAGAGCACAAACTATATGAAAGATCGAGATAGCATGCCTCCCTCCCAGAAAAAAAAAAAAATCAACATTCCTATAAAAATGTTCTCCAATGAGGGTTACCTAAATGGACCTCCATGACACAGAATTTAAGAGATTATGTCATCAACGAGTTCAGGGAGTTTAAAGACGACACAAACAGTTCAATGAACTGTGAGAATGGCAATAATGTACAATATTAATGATGTACAAAATGAGAGTGGCTGAATGTAACAAGAATTCAGGATATAAAAACTGAATTCATTAAAGAGGTAGACATACTAAAGAAAACTCAAGCTGAAATGAAGATGGAATTTTAAAGTTCATGAAGTGAACAAGGGATGGGTCAGGTAGAAAATATATCAGGACTTGAGGACAAAGAGGAATTAGACCACATAAGCAAAGAATATGGATTTTTTTCAAAAGAATAATACAAAAAAGGAACATGCAGAAACTGGGACACCATGAAATGCCAAAATCTTCTAATTGCAAACATTAAAGGAGAAGAATCCTGGGTCAGTGGAATAGACCAAATGTTATTAGGACCACAGAAGAAAACTCTCCCAAATTAAGGAAAGACATGCCTGTACAAATACAAGAAGCACAAAGAACCCCAAATAGGACCAGAAAACATGCTGTAGTCAAAAGATTAAATCTACAGAATAGAGAGTCCCAAGTGTTGGAAGAGAAAAATCACAAGTAACATCTACAGAAAAACTCATCAGACTGTAACAACTGATTTCCTTAGTGGGGACTTCAAAATCTAGAAGAGCAATCCAGGAGCAATGTACTTCAGGCTCTAAAAGACCATAGCTGCCACCCTAAACTAAAAGAAAGATGCTGTAGTTGGAGAAAGAAAACCTTTCCATGATGAAAAGAGGCTAAAAGAATTATTGTCCACCAAACCAGCTCCACAGAGAATACTGGAAGCAATACTTGGGACTGATGGGAGGAATAAGTGTAGCCAAGAGAATTTAGGAAGAAAACAAATGAAGCCGTAAGTACTGAGACATGAAACAGCACTAGGAACACAAATACCAAAAGAAAAAACAGACAAAATGATGGCAATCAACACTAAATGGCCTCAACTCCACAATCAAAAGACACAGATTAGTTAAATGGATTAAGAAACAAAGTCCATTTTTGATGTCTACAAGTCACCTTCAAAGATACAAGTCACCTTAAAGTGAAAGGATGAAAAAGTCTGCCAAGCAAATGGAATTAGGAAGCAAACAGGTGTCCGTATTCTAGTATCTGACAAACTAGATTTCAGACTAAAATCAGAGAAATAAGGACACTTCATTCTAGTCAAGAGAACAGTTAACCAAGAAGACATTATATTCCTAAACATATACAACAAACTCTGGTGTACCCACTTTCATAAAAAGCATATACTAGACTTAAAGGCACAAATTAATCCCAAATTACTCATAAGTGATTTTAGTATTTTCTGCAGTAGACAGGTCATTTGGGTAATAAATAAAAACATAAATTACATCATATATCAAATGGGTGTATACAAAATATTTGGCCCATATAACAAAGTCAGCATCATGGAAACATCTCTAAAGTAGACTACAGTCTGGAACACCAAAGAAATCTTAAATTCAGAAAAAAATTGAAGTGACTGTATCCTTTGACCACAATGCAGTAAAGTTTAAAATCAACAGAAACAAATCTCTAGTAATTAAACTCCTGGAAATTAAAGTGATGAATGATTCACAGAAGAAATCAAAGAAAAGAATTCCTGGAATTAAAATAACATAAAAAGCAGTCCTAAGAGAGAAATAGAAAGCTGTAAGTGCCTACTTTGACTAATCAGAAAGACACAAGAAGATTCAAGATGGCAGCAGCTGCAGGGATCTTCAGGGCCCCTGAGCCACTATAAAGAGCCTGAGAGACCCACAGAAGCTTTGCTTCCAGGGGTGACTTGGTGGCAGAGGATGAGAATGAGTATGAGCAGTATCTTTGGAACAACTGAAAAAAGGCAGGTCTTATGGGAAGGTGCTTTTTAAAGATAGTTTCATAGTTGGGAAAGATGGTGGGTGTGCCTGGAGTCTTGGGCCACCACCAGGCCCTCCTTGCCCCATCACTACCTGCTAGCTGCTCACCCTCCCCACTGACTGCAAGCCAGGTGATCATGCCCCGTGAGCCAGTAGGATGGCTGGCACCCAGGGCATAGAAGTGTGCAGCAGCCTGGAGCTCGAATCAATCCTAACCCCACCCCACCCCCCTCCACTGCCTAGTCACAAGATCTCCCTCTTTCTGGGAAACAATAGGACATCCCAGATGAGTCTCAGTATTCATGGTGCTTGAGAAACCTTGATGGGGGTTGTCCTTCTGTATATATGTTTCTCTTATTGGTTAATGAATAAAACACTGCGGCCAATGAG